ACCCTAACCCTAACCCTAACCCTAACCCTAACCCTAACCCTAACCCTAACCCTAACCCTAACCCTAACCCTAACCCTAACCCTAACCCTTAGTCATCAGTCTTGACACCAATTCTAGATACACTGTTCCATATTTTGATATCACGCTTACATCAACCCCTTACAACTAGAGTAGTACTACGAGACGAAAAATTTTATTTAGACTAACAAACTCGATAAATTAGGTAGTTAAATCATAAAGAACTATTAATTAGGGGGTAGGGACTGGACATCTTTATAGATAAAGGAAATTTTGTGCTCATCCTGCTCATCTATAAGCGCTATGAGCGCGCTCAGTGCTAAGAACTTATGAGCGCTCCTACGCCTCTTATTGGATACTCGGGTTTTATCCAATAAGAATGCTTCTTTATGTTATGCTCATAACAATGTATTACCTCATAACACTCAGACTGTCCTTTCGAGATCAAATGATACCAGTCGTGTATACGCCATACTCGCAAACGAGTCATGCAGGTTTGGGGAAATCCACGAGACGAACATGGAGAATTACTGCCGCATCATACTCTCATCCAATTGTATTTCGATATTTTTAAGCATAAGCAAGACGATTCTTGCTCCACTTTGGCCGGAGATAGTCTGAATCAAACGTGAGATCTAGGCTCGAAGCTGCAACGTATTCTATACTAGGTTCAACCCCGACTTGAGCTCCCTCTTCGCTCTGAGCCCACACCGCCAGTGCGATGGTGTTCTCGCCATTATAATTGAGTATGCCTGGAGGTACCGGGAAATCAACCTGGTTGCCCATGTATGGACTGAATCGCGCGTACTGGTATCCTTTACACAGGTCAGAATATACCAGTCGAAAGCACAGCCCGGTCCAATAGACTCACCATTCACAAATAGTAAACTTCGGAGCTTGTCCGAGCCTGGGGAGCTGAGTTTGAATGACACGGACACGTCCATGCCTTTGGGAACTTCGAGGGACATTGTTGTGCGATAGAAGAGAATGCCCGGACCGGATAGGCCCTTGGATGTCGGGGAACTCGTCTTCCACCCGGAGTCATCGAAACCAGGAAGGTGCCAGCCGAGTCGCTCCCCAGTGAGACCTCCTTCATTGAGAACTCCACGCATTAGGTCAAGGGGATGATCCTGGCCACCTGCAGTGCCAGCAACCTTCCAATGCGAAAACTCGCCACCCAGAAGTGTAGCATTAAGAATTCCACGAGGATTCAGCACGCCCGAGGTCTCATCATGACCAGCATTATCCTGAACGATGACGAGGACATTCTCGGCGCTGCTACGAACAGTCGCATTGGCAAAGCTCATCGTAAGATTTCCTTGTTGAGAGTACTGCGTAGAGTTCCCGAGCCAAGATCCAATGAAGTCTCCATTTAGCCAGGCGCTCCAGCCAAAAGCCGTCCCACCTTGTATGCTGAGGAAGACCCCACTTGCATCACCTGTGAAATATCCACGCCATATACCGATGCCCTGATGGAAACCATACTCGTCAAAATATAGCACCGGGAGCGTTTCCGGCAGCTGGGGGATCTCAGTCGTGTTGTGGTCAGCGTCCTTCCACGCGGCACCAGAATCGTCGTACGACGGGGAAATCTCAGGGAGGCTGTCGTGGACCTTCCAACTTCTCAATTTCGGAGTCAAAAGGTCTCGTCTTGATGGCCCTCTGATAACGCTTTTCAAGCTTCCATAAGACGTCTTTGAAGTATTGAGCGGTTGCCCATTCCAGATAAGTGCTTGGACACTTGAACTTGCAAAAACTTCAATTTCGTTCGATTCAATGACGTCTCCAGTCAACTCCAGTGTCCTTCCATTACTGCTCATGCTTGCCGACCGGACAAGATACGGCCCTTGCACCAGGACTAATGGAAGTAAGCCTTTCATTCGAGATGCATACATGATCTATATGATACTGACCGTGTTTGTCAGGTCCAGAGAGGGGATCCGCACTCAATGATGGAACGAAAAAGGGATACGCCAATGTCCTGTCTAATATGATGACTTTGAACCTCTTGTCGATCTCCAAGACAGACATTCCTTGTTGTTTGGTGAATGTGACGGTCAGGCTGTCACCCTCTGCATAGAACTTGGGATTGGAGGAGCCGCCTGAACGATGCAAAAGTCCATGGCGAGCACCTTTGACGCAAAATTCTCCAGATTCCGCGTCGGGAACCCACAGCACAAGTGTTGGCGACCCGTCAAAAATGGCATACGTCAAGACCTCTGCGGTCGAATACAGCAAAGTCTCATTTCCGAAGTGAAAATCGGTGACGATGATCTTAGATTGATATCCATTAAGAACCATGGAAGGTAGTTTCTGAGGAATGGTAAGATTGCCTGCAGATGTGCTGACTCGAATCCTGAAAGCTTCGTATGTTGGGCTTGACGAATTTGCATGCCTTGTTACGTAGAAGGCGCCATTTGTATCGGGATTACGTAGTTCAGTGCTGGTGATTAGATCATTGGTAGTATATTGAGTACCATTGCCAAGCCGATCAGTCATGGTGAGGTCCTCGGCAACGTGGGTGAACAAGGCCAAATTTTTCGTCTCGTAGTACTTGGCGCCGATGGTGCGATTCTCTGAGATGGGAGCCGAGTAATCGTAGCTCGTTGCAGTGACCGGAGCTCCTATCCAGCCCCAATTCGTCCCGCCATAGAACATATACAGGCTCATTGCTGTTACACGTTCTGCGATATTATTACGGTAGAAAAGGTTAACAAAGTCTTCGTTTGATTGATTCAGACATCCGCCCTGAGGTCCACCCCATGGATTATAAGAGCCACCTGAGACGGTTAGGTTGAGCCGTCAGCTAATTTTGGGACTGTCACTAGCCTTGAAATTCCGGCATGAATTCAGGCTGGGTTGGCGCAACTTCTTGAAAGTGTTCATAGTATTCCCGGACTTGATAAGCCACGTACTTTCCTAAATAAATATGTTAAATGGCATACTTAAAGGGTCAAGATCGAGGGCAGAACCATTCGTCCCAGTGCACTCCTCCAAATTGCAGCTCCAACAACTATGCCGTGGGGTCAGCAATTAGGCAGATATATTGTGCCATACAGATACTCACGAAGGATAACTATCTACACCGTACACGTTCACGTCGCCTTTATAGTTAGGTGCATAGTCCTCCGACCAGGACCAAGTATTCAAGTTTGGATTGTTGTGATAGAGCGGAATGTCGATCCCATTCTCCCGAACATTGTTCTCAAGAAGCTGCATGTAGTTCGCCGCGGTTTCATTTGGTGACCTCGTGTCGACGTCGGTCCACTGTTCGCCATACTCGTTTTCGATTTGGAAGGCCAGTCCGCTGCCGCCTTTGCTTATCTGATGGGGTGCTGTCAGTCTTGAGAACTCGGACATGTACGGTGTCCAAGCCTCGGTATATCGCGAATCGTTGTTTCGCAATGAACCATAAGCGCCATTTGTAAGCCACAGTGGGAACCCGCCCGCGTTAGCTTCAGCGTTGATATAGGGACCCGGCCTGATAAAGACGTATAGGCCAATCTTGCTTGCGAGCTCGTAGAGCTTTGTAAAGTTATGAGCGCCGTTCTCAAAATCCAGAGTGTTAGTTGTAGGAGCATGCCAGGCCCAATTCGCATAAAAGGTGAATGCGTTCAATCCTGCGGCCTTCATCTTTTGCAAGATATCTTCCCACAATTCCGGGACTGGCAGGCGCCAATAATGCATTTCGCCGGCGAACAGGAACGCCCTCTTGCCTTCGATCTGGAAGCTATAATGATCCCATTCAACCACCTTATTTAGGCCATCATTGTGCTCCGGCCATTGAGTCTCAGCAACCGCACTCTGCGAGCAGAGTAACGACAGCCCAAGGCCCATGCTTGTTATCCACCTGGATAGATCGATCATGACTCGCGGTAAGTATTTGGTCAATTGGATGCTGTCTTTCCCGAGAGCTCCTTGGGTTTTGATATGGACTGCAAAGCCTGGTTCTTGTCCCTTACAGGCCCATGGTTTGGTAGAACTTCAAAATTTCTTTGATTCTGTTGGCTAGTCCATGGAGCCCGTGCCGAACCCCAAGCTGGCAACAGAAAGCCCATGGGGAAGAGGGGGAGGGGTTCGTTGGTTCGGGAGCCAGCATACCGAAATGCCGATATTTATCTGATGTAGTAAGGGCTGGTCAGGTGTAGTTCGGCCCTTTAAAGTTTTTTTCCTCGCGATATTTTTTTCCTCGCGATATTTTTTTTCCGTCTGAGGTTACCACGATCCATGAACTGGAGCCCCTCTTCGGCTCACAGCAACCCGCTCCACGCGCGCTCTGCAGGCATGAACGATAAACATAGTGTCATGCACGTTGCTTAAATCATATAACCCCGCGCCATTCGAGTTATGTACCCCGGTAGTGAGCTCATTTGCTCCGCATTCACCACCTGCACATTCATGAACTGTACGCAAAATTCGGTGCAAGTAACCCGAGCAATGATGCACGCTAATTCCAGAGCTAGATAAAGCGCGGAGATGTGATTCTGACTCGAGATGGAGATCTTCGAGGTGTTTAACCGCATGTTTCCATTCACGGAGGAGAGACGGTAACAGAATGGGGGTATTTTCATCTGTCAATTTCGGGTCTTTATACATTTCGATGCGCTGTAAGCAAGCTACCATTGCCGGCTTTTTATCGGATCAACGCGCAGATGCCATCAGCATACTTGCTATTTGTATGTTGGTATTTGGAAAGGCTGCTATGTGTCATTGGATGGCCGAGTCCTTCAGCTGCCCGAAATCAACATATGCAAAGACCAAGATTTTCGACCCAACATTTTATGAAGCGTGAAAGTAAAACGACCCAGACGATATCTCAATCGTCGTAGTTCCATTGCTCTGGGACACTCCCAAGATACCATCCACATGCTTATATTTCGATGAAGACATCACGGTCCCACTTTCGCTGACCTTGGTGCTAAAGTCAATGATGACGCTAGCGTTTGCCCCTACAGGGACGGTGACGTTGTATATGAGATCCTTGTTATCGGCCAATTCCCACGATGCGATGGCCATGCCCTTGACACTGCGGCACGAAGACTTAGTGTACGTCATGTTGGCAACAAATATGGGCCTGAGGGTGAGCGTGTCCCATGAGTTGGACGTGGACGTATGTGCGAGGCCGCTCAACTCAGCGATATATTTGTTCACGTAGCTTAAAATGAAGTGATTCAAGCAGTTGCATTCGCCATATTCCGCTACTGGGCTATCCTAGCGCTCTGTCAGGCTTGTTGCACCGTGCAGGACCTGAAAGGCGTAACTGGGCGAGGTTGGCATGGTGACCATGTCATAAATGGTGTCGTTTCTGTCCAGGTTTTGGAGAGACCTAAACAGCGAAGGTAAGGCGATCTCGCCAACGCTGAGCTGGGAGCCGTTAGCCTGGATAAGTTCGACAATATAGACTGAAATCCGAGTTTGAAGATTGGTTTCAACAGCCCCCATGTCCAGAGCGATTGCGTTGGAGGCCCGGGAGCCGGATCCGTACCAGTTACAGCTCGAGTTCCAGTAATACTGGTTGAAGGAAGTGATGGTATCGTTCAACATGCCCGTGTAAGTGGCCACGTCATCCGTCAGGCCAAGCCCTTGGGCGATGGTGATCATACCTGACAGAGCTTGCTGATAGCCAAAAGTGGTCGTCACACTAAGCGGCGTACTTGTGTCAAAGGCAATCCAGTCCCCAAGCCCGTAGCTGAGGGTTTCAATTGTAGTCTTGTCGGCTAGAAAGCTCACGTACTTCTTTATGATATCGTAAGCGTCCGACACCAGCGCTAGGTCGCCGTAGCCTTGGTAGAGATTAAGAGGAAGCAGAACCGACGCATCTCCCCAGTTGGGGTCGTCGCGGAAGCCGCCAACGAAGACGACAAACTCTGGAGAGATATCAAGAACAAGACCCCCAGTGGCCTGTGAATCCATAATTGTCGTCATGACTCCCTTGCCGAACGCATCAATATCATAGTCTCGAATGACGGTATCAAAGACTATATGGGTCTGCTCGAGCCATCCATTGCATCCAAGCTTCTCTCGTTGGGGGCAGTCGGTCATGACGCTGTAGATGTTACTCTGGATCGCATGGTCGACAATCTTATAGATCGAATTGACCATGGTGTCGCTGGATTCGAATGTACCAACAGACTCGACAGTTGTTCGAATCACTAGCGCTTCCAAGTCTCCTGCGGATGGCTGATATGTCAAGTTGACACCAATGTATCGGAAACCATGATACATAAATCTCGGCGAGTAGATGGTCTCGGACCCATCTGAGGTGAAAGCGTCGTAGATAGGATTACCAGTCGTGGACTGGTCGATGCCACCATCAGACAGCAGTCTTTCCGATGGCCAGAAGGTAACACGAACCCCGTTGCGTTCTCGGATCTTGAGAGCGTACCAGCCAGCAAAATTGGTACTAAAATCAAACACATAGTTTCCATCGATCTTGGTTGAGGTCACGTTAATAGCCTGCCACCTGTCCACCACGTTGATTGGCGGGAACTGAGTAGTAACAAGTTGGCCGGGAGGAGGATTCAACGTTTCGTTAGCTCTTGCCCATTTCGAGATGTCCGTACGAAGCGTCGGCCACCCGGGTATCTCAAGAGTTGCGTTGTATTCCTCCCCACCGTACCAGGATGATTCCAGTTGGGGACCTGATACCGTGGTCTTCCACGTCGAATCGGAGTCGACCGAATGCAGAGACTGGCTGTTCATGCAGACGTACTCGATCTGCACAATGAGCGTCAGAGAGTTAGACGTGCCGTCAATTTTGGTGTAACGGCCGCCAAGAGGCGAAGTTTTCGACGAAACGTGGATTGGCGTTAACCATGGATGCTAAATTTGGGCGTGGACAACTTGGCATATTCGACTTTATCGATATGACAGCCTTGTGAGAGCTATTTAGCTAGGCATGAATGTAATACTGTACTGGGTGCGGCGTGGATGGAATCGGTGTGAGCCGGCGACATGCACGTTGCTGTTTAGACCATGGCCTTCTTGCAGGCACAGTCGACGTGGATGGGCTCGGTATGAGCCGGCGGCGTGTAAATCGTCGTCAAGCTTGGCACGTAAGCTGGTGACATTTGCGTTCTGTTTCCAATTCCAGCGCGGATTTTTTGGCACCCGTGCTCGGCCGCGCCCCAGCATATTTTGAAACATACTACGGTACGAATGAAAATAATACTTGTGCGCCCCCGCATTCTCATTCCTGCCACGTGATCGAAACGTTCGGAGCTTTTTGTAGCCGGCACGCGGCACGTGGGAAATGGTCCCAAAAATAGCTACCTTGCACGCATTGCCGGGAAGAGTCACTCCGCACAACCAGACATTCTCGTCCATTGTACTGAACTGCGTACGCATTCAAGTACCGGCAAGACGTAAGTTAAGTCCATCAGCCGTTAACTTTTCACCACTGTCAGCTGCTGAGCAAGTAATAGTAATTACTTGGTCGATACGCGTGGGTACGAAGTGAGGAAAACACCAATGCATGGCGGCGACTGACGGATGGTGACTGGTGGTGACTGATGATCTTTGGGGCATCATGGCCCAGATTTGGGGCCAACAAGAGGCTCCCCAACTATTTGAGGCGTATGCCCAGGTATCTGCACAGCCATCTTCGGCTGATGGACCATCCGGTCCACAAGCATTTCTATGTACAAACTGGCCTATGAGAGATATATGTAGCCAGGGGTTCAAGCTCCAAGTCGAACATCTTCAACAATCATGGCTCAAGACGAGGAAAAGAGCTCGCATCGAGCACGTTGCAATTCCCCAAGCGTTCACACGCCGAGTCAAATATCTTCTACAATTATGGCTCAAGAGGACAAAACAGGCTCGCTCCGGGAACGTGTCTACTCACCTGTACATGAAACTGAAAGGATCGAGTTTTGCGATGCGAGAAGCAGACACCCAGGCATCGAAGAGAAGCTGAGGCCAAAACGTCGACCGCCGGCTAAGGAGAAAATACCCATGGGGATCTCCCCTGAAGACCATGAAATGCAGAGTCACTTCCTTCTTAATCTTGCATAGGAAGAAAACATTGCGAAGGGGTTTGATTCAGGCGACGGGAAAGTGACCCAAGACGAGTTTGCTTGGACGGATGACACACCGTTAGAGCAACGGATAAAGCCATGGGACGAGGAGAAGTTTCGACAGAGAGAGAGAGAAGTGTCGGAGACGCTTAGCACAATCTGGAAAGAGGAAGGCATGACAACCACTAATTAAGTACATAGATTAATCAGTCTCAAAGGAAAAGCTTATCTAATACACCTTCTGTTAATACCGATGGTATCCATCGATCTCTGCACTTCTCCAGCTTCGCATTCTGGAATTTGGTACATATTCTAAGAAGGTTGATCTTATCCCGTATTGTGTCCCTTGACGGAAGTAAGCCCGTTTTAAGCAGGTGGATTGACATGTTATCTACCCGCTTAGATATCGCAATAACCTCTATGCGAGCGTTCTCAGCGTACGTCAGCAACACGGGAATTTGCTCTCTGTGAATGTAGCGTCGTTGCTAAATCCATTGTCAGTTTTAGCCGGCAAGACTCCAGCTGTGACGTACATTTTGCGGCCGACCAGGTCGCTGCAGATGAGAAGGAAACCATATCCTAAGCGCTGCGCCATGATCGACCATCGTCTCCCTATTCTTTTGTGTTTTTGTAGTGATTGCCTGTGTTTTTTTGGACACTATTGGATCTGGCATTGGCTCCTGAGAAGGGTAGACCTCTGTCATTATGCTATCCAAAGCAAGTCATGAATAGTCCCGACCCTGCGAGAGTTTGTGAGCCTCGTTTGGGTCTTGCCTCATCTTATCACGAAGCTGGTTAAAACACTGATAAAGCAGAACCCTCGCGATCCTAAGGCGTATTGGGTCCACTCGTACACGATGCTCGAGTACCGCGGGGCAGTTGAATGCTTTAAATGCCCCCTTCAGAGGTAGCTGTGGCGGGCCGAAGGTCTGATGATGGACCGGTACGTCATTCTCTAATTCTTTACAGAGCGCTTGGATGGCGGTCGCTACATCCAAGCGAAGACGAGAATCGCCTATCTTTATAATGTTCTCGATCTCTTCGGGTTTTAGAGCATGTGCTGTATCAGTTCCGTAAAACCTTGAGAGGGCGTTGAAAGTCCGCGACAGAAATGATTTGTATTCAGATACATCGACCCTACGACCTTGTGTTTGATCTTGTGGAAATGAAATGGTAGGAGACGTTGAACCAGACCTAGACGCTTCATCAGTTGTCATACGGCTCATTTCCCAATCTTCCGACAGATAAGGAGGGAGGGAAGAGTTTTCAGCCTGGACTTGGATATTGACCGGGCGGTGACTAAGGGATTGTGATGAGGCATCCTGTGGACAACTCATCTCAATGTCGGGAGCGTAACTCTCATCTGATGCCGCTGGGTGATGATGTGATTGGTTTAGGACATTTTGTGGGCTCTCAGTGTTGACAGTTTGATCCAAGTTTGATGCCGCAGGCTGAGTATGTGATGGCGTTGAGAGGTTTTATGGGTCATCCATCTCAATGTCATTCATAGCCTCCCCCTCGTTCGATTCGACGGCTTCAGCGTCATTAATTCCCGGGCTTGATGGCATGGCCAAAAGAGTTTCCATTGAGTCACCATGATAGGCACTATTTGCTTCAATGGAGGCTGGTACTGTGGGGTGTAAACATGCCTGGACGTGTAGCAGAAACTTTGTCTTTACATGTTATTCTTATAATAAATATTTAATAATTTAAATTTGCTACCAAAGTCCTTAAAAAGAGCTTTTTAAACATTTATTTTTATTTTATACTATAGGAGGCTTCAAATTGCTCTTTCAAGTAGTCCCTCAGCTTGATTGGTTTATATTTTGATTCTTTTATAGGTGGACCAAAGGGCCGATCACTTGTATCTCTTCGTTCTTCGCATCCAGAGATAACAGAGATTACCTTCTCGGCATTCCCATTAAAGAAAAATGGTACTGAGTATCGATCTTTAGACGTGAAGTTCATAACGCGATGTATTCCAGAGGTAAAATGGTGATTTGTCCATCGCATCATCGTATTTCCAATATTAATAACAAATGCCCCAGAAGTTGGTTCAATATCAATCCACTCTCCTGTCCGCTCATCCTGAACCTGTAGACCTCCAACTTCATCTTGTAATAAGATGGTCACACACCCAAAATCACGGTGTGCGCTGACCCCCCTTACCAATGGGCTTGTTTTTGGCGTAGGAGGATAGTGGATCAATCGAAGGGTTGAACTAGGTCTATCATTGCTGAAATCGTCAAAGTAGTCCTCTTCCAGACCTAGCCCTAAGGCCAAAACTTTCATCACTTCCACCGCCAGGCTGCGTACAGCATAGTAGTATTCTATGCAAACATCTTGAAAGGCTTTCCCAAGTGCTTGAGGGTATAAATTCGGACCGCAATTGTATTCCCCAGCAAGAACCCTTGGATGATTTAATGGAAGATCTTCGCCTATATAGATGGCTTCCTTGGTGTCAGATTCTGCACCTGGCTCAAGTCTTTGCGCCTGAAGTCTCTCATATCCACGATGGTAGTTATTGGAATTCAGATCACATTTCATCTTCTCTTCAAGTGGAAGATTGAAGAAGTCTCTTGAGGCCTGAAGAATTTTGCTTTGTAGCTCGATTGATACGTTTGTATTTTTCAGCTGGAAGAATCCTTTGTCTCTGCATGCCCGGTTGATGGCCTCAATAAGTTCCGTACGAGCTCTTGAATCAGATTCGCGAAATGCTAGTGCATAATGTTAGTCTTCTTTCTCAATATGAGCATACGTACCTGAAAAGTCAAGGATTGGGGGCTTCTCTGTAGCATTCAAAGCTGTTCTAACCAGGTGCATATTGATATATACTCTTATGTGATATACTGGATTTCCACGGCTTTTATGCAAATAATTCATACCATTTCATGCATTGCCATTTGTTATAGTCTCCAATCGATGAAACAAACTGCTGCGCTCAGATTTTAAGACACAACATCCCAAGTATCGAATGATAAGCGATAGGGTCTCATCAAAAAGTCGTTATCTCTAGCATCTCACTTATCTTTTCACGCCAGGCACTTTCAGCTGCAATTTCGGCCGATATTGATAGTAGTTTGAGTTGGTGTTAAAGGCGACTAACTAGCTCGGCCGATCCTAATACTATTCTAAAATAGAACACCAGCGTCGTAGTCCCTTATCGCAGCTTTCTAGTTCTAGTACGCGACAACACTGCTAGTCAGTCAGAATTGGCATGAACACTATCGTTATCTATTTCCGATAAATTTTTGGCCACACATGCTATTATCCAAAGCGTGGTTAGGAAGCAAGCTGCACGCGTACCTTGCGTTACGTTGTTGCGGTATCGCTCAAGCCGATATTTGATAACATGATATACTTATCGTCTTATATTATCTCCTATCAACTATTAATGACGGAGACAATCTCGAAATGCTTAGTGATAGGGCTGTTCGGCCGCCATTCTTGTTTGTCATTCTTACTGCACTTATTTATTCCATTCCGAGGGTCGAGATTATATCAACTGCTTTTAACAGCTTTATTCATTTTACTGAATGTCTTGACTCTATAGTAAAGACCCGTTTACAATCTGGATTATTCTGAAGCTGCGCTTTCTCCATAATTCCACCAAATACATCAACGTTGAAGCCAATAGCTCTGCTTATAATGCGTCCTATTGCGCGCAGGCTTACAGCGATTAAGCTTGCTTTCACTAGCAGAGAGAACTTCTTAAGTGCAATAGAGACCAGACCTGACCGAAGTTGTTCACAAACCAAACGAAACCCATGGTCGAATGAGGACCTTGCCATCAGTCCTCCAGAAGATCGAACGTGGACTTGGAAGGCATATTCTGCATTCTGGTGTACATATGGCATCAACCCGGGAACTTGGAATGTTGGAAGTGCTCTTATTACAACTGGGCTGTCGACATGGCAAGCTGTGATTTGCATCTTTTGGGCTACCTCTTCGGTGCAATCGGTATGGTCTTGCACTCTAGGTCTGCCACGATATATCACTTCGGCTTTCCCGTTGAGAGCCGTATTCCCTGGGGCCTATGGGGATCATACTTTCCCATTATTCTCAGAGTCCTGACTGCTTTGATATGGACTGGTGTCTCAACAATGCAAGGAGGTTACCACACGGCAGTGTTATTACGATGCATATTTGGCGACTCTTTCTGGAATATGGAAAATACCCTCCCTTCTGACTTGGGAATAACGTTACCGAACTTCATCGGACTGATGGTCTACTGGATCTGCACTTTCCCTCTGCTGAACATTCCTCTTCCGAAATTCAGAATCTGGACACAGGTTGAAGCAATTATCATGCCATTTGCGCTATTTGGTATTTCTTCGACTTTTTTAAATCTAAGAACAACGCTTACATTTGCAGGCCTATTTATTTATTATATGGTGACTGGAAAAGGGGCCCCAGAGAAGAACTTAACAAAAATTGGGAGCATGTCGGGCTCTACTCTAGCGTGGGCAATGGTTGGTTCTATTTTCAAATTTTAAAGTCACACAATCATTCATTCTAACATCATTAGATCGGCGGCGTTAATTCTATCATGGGGAAAACGTCAACACTAGTTATCAACCAGCCAGATATTGCACGCTACGCGAGAAAGCCATCTGCAACTATTTACAGCCAGCTAATGGCTCTTCCAATTGCAAACACGGTCGGAGCCACCCTTGGCATCTTCGGTACTGCATCCATCTACAACGTCTGGGGAAACCTTAATTGGAACCCATGGATCATGGAGCATGATATCCTAACCCATAATTGGGGTCCTGGAGTGCGGGCTGCCATGGTTTTCTTAAGCGCTCTATTCATTTTTGCAAACATGATTGGCGACATGTGCGCCAATATTATTCCTTTTGGTGCTGATGCGATGACACTGTTTCCGCGTTTCTTGAACATCAGGCGTGGTATGTGGGTTGGATATTTGCTGGGGGTGTGTATCTGTCCTTGGAATATTCTTGCAAACGCATCAGGGTTCCTCACCTTTCTCGGTGGTTATAGTATCTTCCTTGGGCCATTTCTCGGCATTTTTATCACGGATTACTTCATTATTAGGAAAGGAAACGTCTATGTAGAAGATCTCTACAAGGTTAAAGGACGATATTGGTATCACCAAGGTTTTAACTGGAGGCCTGCTGTCGCGTGGGTAGTGCCCGTAGCTTTCGTCATGTAAGCATTAACTCACCAAAACATCGAAAGTACAAGAAACTGATATACCCATGTAGCCCTGGATTTGCAACTAAATTCGGTCATCACATTGATGGCTATATAGGCTGGAACCGCTTGTACAGTTTCAGCTGGTTCTTTGTATGTACGGCTGCAAGTGTCATCTACTATGCAGTTTCAATGGTTGGCAATTATGCACCAGTAGAGCGTACGATGCCTTTTGAGGCAGCAGCAGCACAGCAAGATGAGATTTTGAATGGAATCGCGTTAATGAACGAAAATTTAGCTGACGTTTCGGCTGTTAACATTGCCGTAGAGACCAAGGTCTGAAAAAATGTTGTAACACTAAGGAGCTCTACATCTTCAATAATATTGTAGATCCTCATTTCTCCAAATAGGATTTAAGTAGAACATATGCAACATGATTCTTATCATTGTCTCTTCCTTTATTCACTAGTGATTGTCTTTGAGACAAATATGCTAGTGATATCCCTGCAACAGGTAAACTCATAGCTCTGTTCACGAATGAGGCGGCGCTATCTATGCTTGAATACTGATTATCTCTGCTCTTCCTCTACCTGGCTCATTCTCCATTGTGACTGCGCGTTCAGCCGTCTTATTTTGCATCGGTACGCTACGTGTCATAAGTGCAGCGCAGATTGCTACCACCCCGAATCCTATTGCTACTAGAAATACGAGTCGAAAGGACTCTATGTAGGCGTCTTGTACCGCTTTCTGAGCTTCCTTCAATACTTGCGGTGTCATACCTAAAACAGCGTTGTATGCAGCGACTGTATTTACTTTGGACGCCTTTAATAATGCTTCAAATGATCCCGTAAAACCTGCTTGCTCCACATGGACTTGTAAAACGTGCGGAAGCTGGGATGCATAGCGATTCGTGTAAATAGAAGTGTAGATAGCACCTGCGATAGCCCCACCGACAAGACGGGCGGTGCTGACAAGTCCAAGTGCTACACCACTGTCATAAGTTGAGTCAAAATCATGATCACATAACGAGGGAATGGGAGGAAACTTACATATCATTTTGATCCTCTAGTAGAAGAGATACGGTACCAAACATCATGATGTTAGTAGCGGTAGCTGCAGTTCCAGCCATAAGGAGAAAGAAAATAGTCCGCCCTTGCGTGCTTGCGCCGACACTTGCAAGAGCCCCTGTAAAAGCGGTCTGAATTGTGGCCAGAGCAGTGACTTGCCATCTCTCGTGATTAAGCCATGGCATGAGAAGTATTCCATATAACGCAGCAAGAGGTGTAGACAGGTTTGCAATATTTGCGTAAAGGCCTCTTCTCATAATATCACCTGCTGGTATCCATATCAAGGAAGACAGACGTGGCCAGATGATGAGATTGGAGTAATACAGCATACCTGCGACGAATACAACTACCAATATAGCCGTGAAACTGGTGTATATCAGCTAAAATTCTTGATTCGATGGATTTTCTTAGTCTCCACTAACTCTCTAAATTTGCGAAACAGACGCGCGGGCAATAGTGGATGAGATAGGGGGGCATATGCCTCCCATAAACCTAGAACAATGAACAAGCAACCTGAGGCAACGATTGGGGCAATCACAGGACCACTATGCCATGGATAGAGTGTTCCACCCTAAGAGCTTATTTATCAGTACTAACGGGCTGGGTTCAACAACTGAGCTGAAATGAATGCACGCACCCAGTTAATAGCAAGAAGAAGTAGTGCACATGCTGTACCAAAGGTGAATAGACCTACGAAGTCTGTTTGCAGGACAAGTTGCAGTCTAGACTTCTGATCCATAAGATGTTTTGTTGTAAAGGAGGGCGGATGGTAAAAGAAGAACATGGTGATAATTGCTGCACCTTCGACTGCAATGCAAAAATAGTAGCATGTCCTCCAACTGGATGCAGTATTGGCAATGAAAGAGTACGCTATGAGCGCAGAAAACATAGAGGGTAGATTTCCAAATTCGAAAATTCCTACGATGATTAGCATTTTCTTTTACTCCCTGCTAACTTACTCTCAGGTTAATAATACGAACCAATGGTGAGAAACCGCTTGTTATTCGGAACCAGCTCTTGGATACACGAGAAAACCATTTCCTGCATGCCACCTCCAAGCCCAAAGAGAACGCCGCTAGCGATAGATTGATTTATGGATTGAGATGTTGCACCGACAATAGCACCAAGCGTAGATATCGCGGCGCCGGAGATCAAGAACCATCGACGGCCGAAGATATCAGCTAGCCTCCCGCCGATTGTCACCACAACAGCAGCCACGAGATTCCATCTTCATTTGCAGAATGTGTAAGTTATAAATTTTCTGATTATTTAGAACTTGCAGACTCACGAAACGGAAATCCAGACATAATTCGGATTAGGTCCTAGGTCCGCGTTGATGAAAGCCAGTACAGTGGAAGGCATAATCTGAGTGAATAAATATCCGTTAAACGAAATTAATAGAGACTGAATGATGTAAGTATTACAACTTTACTGTTCTTTATTACATATAGGATAATGAATTACCAGGAGACCCGCATATGTGTGCCAAGTCATATGCTGGGAAGCTTTGTGCTGTGCATCGTTTTCTGGTACGATTTTGGGCTCCAAAATATCGATAAACTCTGACTTAGTTTTCTCTTCACCAAGTACAGATACTCTCGTGCCAGCATCATCTTGGTAAGCCATTCTACCGACAGACGTACAGAGTTAGTATAGCTTAATTGAAACTTTAGAATTCAATTGAAAGGCGGTGAAGAGATTCGACGGATGGTGAACTTTCTCATGCAAGAAGCGTTCTTCATTTATATGTGATAAAACCCTAAAAATTGTTGGAGATGTGTTTATGCGGATATTGTTAATCCTGAGGAAAATGCTAGCCGCAATGTTGGAGTCACATTCATCCAGCAACGGTCGGTTCATGATGGAATTGCGCCCTCATCTCCCAGCCTAATGTCCACGTCTTACTACCATTCTTGGGGGGTTTCCATGAATGGTCGATACTACGCGGTGATGCACTAATTTAGTGTACTGATTTCCCCGCAGAACTCAGCGCTACTGATTCATCAGCCGAAGAGACAAGCGCGATGATTCAGCACCTTGACTATCCTTAATCTTTTCAGTCCTACTAGCCTCTTGAAGGTTGTGAAGTCACTGGCGTTCTTTATGATTAACGTTGCACAACTGCTGGGACCTTTTGTCGTCTAGAGCGAAAGATTTCCAGTTATAGTTAATTAAACTAATTATCACCTCGGCCGCGACTGGTATTCTACTTCAAACGCGGCAGCCATCTTCCACGCCATTGAAAATCTACTTCCATGTATACACGTGTCTCCGATTAAATCTCCTCTCCGCAGTGTAACATAAGCACTTTGATTTCTGCAATTGAAGATAAGATGGGTCTTCTTTCCATAGGCCGTTTTCCAGCGAACACAGAACAAGTTCGTGAAGAAGTCAGTTTCAACTTCCGAAGGTATTTGGACGAAAGTTTCTTAACAACGTCTTAGGTTATAAAAGTATTTCACAGCGTGGTCGAGAGTTCATTACCTTTGGATTCGCTTCCAAGCAAATACTTCTTCTGCGTCCGTCGCGACGCCATTGACGATTATTCCACTTACTTAATTGAAGAGTACGTCAACAAGCTGCCACATACACATTACGCTAATGTTACGTACAACGCCAGATATGATGGAATCACATCACCTTCATACCAGCCAATCAATAAAATTAGTCAAAGGATGTTACAACAGCTCCGAGATTCTGGATCCGTTGTAAACACATTCGAACACCTTGTTCTTGGCATTTCTAAAGGTTTCCTTCGCAAAGACATGAAGAACTATACGGATCCTTATATCGTTTTTGCAAGCTTGGAGTATGATACGACAGCCTCGGCTGAACAAGCTTTACATGGCTTTCATAGTGTGTCCGCATTCTCCGAGGGTGAAGAGCCTGGGACAATCAGCTACAATGTAGTGCAAGATCTTCAAGATCCCCACGTAATCCGCACGCTGGAGTTCTATACCGATGAGGATTATCTTTGGAATGTTCACGCTATCAGTAATGCTGTACAAGAAAATAAGAAAAGACAGGGAAATTCACGTCTCAGGACTGATTTTGTATTCTTTCGGCTAATAGGGCGGTATGTATGGTCAAACCCTAGCTAAGACAAGGTTTGATATAGAAGCAATGGCCTTTAGCACGTCATCCATACGAATTTGATAGTTTCAAAATCATTCACCATAGTTTTTTCCAGTTCGAAATTGTTCAGTTTTTGCTTTAAGAATTCTGCTTGTAAGGATTCTCGTGGAGCTCATAAAGCCAATATCAGTTAGGATGATCTTAACATGCACACCATTTTCTGTTCCAAAATTTGTCGTCTACGGTACCACTATGATGTGACCTAATCATCGACTTTAATTAATATAATTACACTCTCTAATTTCTCTCCAAAATCATCTAGCCGTACAGCATATTGATTTTACAATGCCATTGAGCTACCAAATGGTCTTCTCAACCTCGCTTCACTTGTGTCAATCGGCACATCAGTGGCGGTTTATCCCAAGTGTTGAATGCTTTGAGATGCTGCAAATTGTCATGAGGATCCCAGACATCAAATGATCCAGGCACGTCGAGGTCAGCACGCTCAATGTCAAAATGCCATACTACATGTATTAGTACGTGTTTTTGAGCTCCGAAATGATCATGTGTAACATACAGAGATTACCAAGGATAAGTCTGAGCTCCATGTAGCTCAAGTGACGACCAATACAGCCTCGAGGTCCAAGCGAGAATGGCTGACTAGCATCTTTTCGGTCTCTACTGAATTCGGCGGCATTCTCGAGCCAGCGCTCGGGAATGAATGATTCTGGATGTGACCAATTTCGCTCTGTATGAGTGGCAGACCAAGCATGTACGGAAACTGTAGTCCCGCCAGGGATCCATTCACCTGCTATCGTGTCTCCTCCTGCAGGAACGGTGCGAACAAGTCCAGTTGGGATTGAAGGAAATATTCGCATACCCTCTTCAAGACAAGCATTCATGTACGGAAGACTTTGAAGTTTTGTAAAAGTCATGTCTTCAACAGAAGAAAATGCGCTGCGAATCTCAGAGCAGAGTTTTCTGTAAGCCTGTGGTGTCCTCATCAACCACATGGTTAGACCTGCGAGGAGAGAAGCAGTAGTTTCAGAACCTGCAACACTAATCAAAATTAGACTCAGTTTTACACGATTAGATGGTATAATTACATAAAAAGAGCGCTGTTTAAGATAATTTCGTCTTTCCTTACGGTCCCTTTTTCGTTCTGGCGTAATATGTAGTATAAGAAATCTCGGTGATCTCTACGTAGGCCTTCTTCTAAGCGTCTACAAAGTTTTATTTTCGATCATGATTTTCAAAACATCGTTTTCACATACTTGTTGCATTTTTCCTTGCTCAGCTCAAGGTGCTTTACACGTTTTGCACGTAAGTGTGCTGGGATAAGCATCATGAGTTTCTTTTGAAACCAAGACCCGGTTCGGAAAACGCGGCGTGTCGACTGTTCAAATGCACCCGCCTTTATTGTCTCTGTTATTAATGAGACCCATTCTTGCTCTTTTCCTAAATCACAGTGTCAGCAATCATAGCCGTGACTGGATCGTGAACTATTGGTTTACCATCCCGAAGACATCCGAAAGGCTCTCCAAATGCCATATCACCGATAATATCAAAAGTTGTAAAGTTATACCACATGCACATGTCAAGTTCCTTGTTTGTAGCGGCGAATGGCTTCAATCTTTCGATGAAAAGATCCACATATCCTCGAATAATGCTTTCCTGCTCTAACAAAGCTTTTTGAGAGAATGCATGACTCAATGCACGACGCTGACGCGCGTGCTCCTCATCACCTGCCATCGTGAGAGTCGTGGAACCAGGAATATCTTGAACGGCGCCGACGTGAATAGGATCCTTGTGGAATTGTGGGTGACCCTGACGGTGGCCGTATATATCTTTCCAAGCTTGGGGATCTGTGAAAGCAAGCTCATTTGGCATCAGTCTGACTATTGGGCCGTATCTATCGTGAAGCTTCTTAACTTCAAACGGCCATCTGCCACGGTGAAGACCCCAGACAGGAAGAATCGGGGATATTTTTCCAAGAAATGGGCCTGGATACTTCGAAAGCGGATGAAAGTACACGTTGTAAATGCATCGCCACAGTAAGTACAGTGTGCCCTACGAAACCTGATTAGTCTGCTCCTTGCCATTGGATAGACCTATTTACGAGGCTAATGGTTCCGGCAGCAAGAAGAGTCGCCGGTTGAGCGATGATACAGGAAGTGATAAAAGTCATGGAGGCAACAGATATTCATATATATTGAAGGAGCAAAGGATGATTAAACATGCCGTGATTATTTTCTGATTTTTCTTGCTTCATCTTTATAGCTGATTCGGATAAATTTAGGAAGTTCATGGACCTAAGATGTTAGGGTTGGAAATGATTCACCCTATCGTCACGGTTAGAACGGCGCAAAGAGTGATGAAGTTAATGAATCAGCGTCTACATCAGTAGCCTTCAGCCTTGCATAACTGGAGCTTGCATGAAACTTCCAAGTTGAATTAGTTTGATTTTTTTCAAAGATTCACAGATCAAAGATTTTAAAAGAAGTCTTAGTTACTCGAGGGGGCGCATGCGAAAAGAAGGGATATCCACGAGCTTTCCGTGGAACGGAAATCCTTTTGCGAGATGTTAACGAGAATTAAATCCTCAACTCCACCGCATGGCATGGGGGTCAAATTGAAAAGCAATTAACATAAATAAGTTCACATACTTCCCCTCGGTTTTTGATCTCCGGCAGTGGTGGAGAATTTCACAAAGTCTCAAAAATGCTGACTTCAGATAGAATGTTTATGCCTTCCATAAGATCTATTGTCTCACTATTCTTGAACTGTTTTTGCTTAAAACAATTTTGCAATACATGCACGTCTTCTGTCAACACTCTGCATTCTTCACAATCCTCGAACAAGTTATTCAGCTGGGGGATGTCCTGAGATGCCGCCTAAGTTTTGTTTGACTTGTATTCATTTACTTGGACTTAATCCACTCTGAACTTTTCGAAATTCTAATGAATATGCATAGAAACAAAGATCGAGCATTCCATGCCGATGCTCCTTGAACAACAAGAAATTGATTCAGCACTTATCATCGCTTTTTTAAATTTATGTTTTAAGTTTGTACTGTAGTATGATGAATCTCACAAACTCATCAGAATAGGAAACGATTGCCCGAATCTCCTCAGATATTATTTCTCAGAGGGCAAAAGTGCACAGGCATACAAATTTATGGTAACCATGCCAGTGCTGACTCTAAAATCCTTCTTAATAAGCCAGTTTTCGATATATGTGCATTTCAAACCTTCTTTGCGGCATTAAATGGTCACTGACTTTGGATCAGTCCATTTTGACGTAATCTCGCTAAGTGAAATCACATCACACCATCTCATGATCCCTTCCGCGAAGAGTCGATAAATCAAGAAATTGCATTTCTCGCTCACCTACCCAATCTTAGTTGTATGGATTTTAATCCAGACCTTTTTTAACCCGAGTAAGGCCCAAAAGAATGGCAAACACACGAGTGATTGTTGTTGGCTCTGGTCTTGCTGGCCTATCAGCGGCCTCCATGCTCGTGGCACACCACGTCCCGGTCCTTCTGCTTGAGCGCTCTGCTAAACCAGGAGGGAATTCCATCAAAGCCTCCTCCGGCATTTCGGGAGCGCCAACACGATTTCAGGGCGAAGTCAAGGACAGCGTCGAGTTATTCACAGCCGACACCATCCGATCCGTAGGTTCGATAATTAATCACAACAAAAGTGAAAGGGAGCATCTGGTGAGAGAACTGACCGGAAAGTCTTCTGGGGCGATCGAATGGCTGTCTACCGAGATGGGAGTAGATTTGACTCACATCACCCAGTTGGGTGGACATTCACGGGCGAGGACTCACCGAGGGAGTGGGAAAACGCCTCCTGGTTTTGCTATTATCAATGCCTTGCTAAAGAATCTGCAACAACATTCAATTTTTGAGTTGCGTGGCGAAAGTGAGGTCTCAGGACTGGTGCATGACCATGACGGACTAGTTACAGGCGTAAGATACCAGCGTGCTGGCGCGACCGAGGAACTGGAAAAAGGTCCAGTTATTTTCACCACAGGAGGCTTCGCAGGAGATATCAAGGGCTTATTACGTGAATACCGACCTGACTTGGGTAATATTCCTTCGACCAACGAGTCACGGCCGGGCATGCATAAGCTTCTGACAGAGATTGGAGCCAACCTTGTCGACATGGAACTCGTTCAGATTCACCCCACAGGCTTCATTGACCCATCGGATAAAAACAATACGCACAAGTTCCTCGCGGCTGAACTGTTACGTGGCGAGGGTGGGATTTTAGTTGATAGGCAAGGAAAACGCTTCATCAACGAGCTAGCTACAAGGCGCGAGATAACAGATGTCATCATGCGCACTGACAGTTTCTGTGAAGACCCAAGACAATGGGATGTGCAGATTGTGCTTGATGAAAATACATATCAGGCCGCAAAGAGCCATGTTGATTTTTATATGTCCAAGGGCCTTATGCGCAGAATTAAGGCAGCCGATATGGAACCATCCGTTAGGGCTGAGATACGTTCCTACGGGGAAATCGTACTTGGAGCATCCACGGACCCATTTGGACGCACTGCGTTCGGAAATTGGTCTGGAAAGAGCGGCAGTGGTGATGAGGAATGTTTCTATATTGGAAACGTCACACCCGTGGTACACTTCACAATGGGAGGTGTCAGCATAAATACTGACGCAGAGGTCCTGAAAAAGGACGGCACGCCAATCAGAGGACTATGGGCAGCCGGAGAGATTACGGGCGGGATTCACGGACAAAACAGACTTGGTGGAAACTCGTTGCTAGAATGTGTTGTTTTCGGGCGAAAAGCGGGAGAAAATGCCGCGAAGTGGCTGTCATCAAGAAATCAGTAAAAGGCACAGGTCCTCTGTCGGTAGGTGAAATCGAAGTGGGTAGGAAAGATACGCTGTGTTCATATCGAGCCGCTGGGCCTCAAATCACGCTGATTTACTAATTGTCTTTTGACTGACGTGCTCAGAAATGATGCATGTGCGCGTTGGATATGGACGCTTTCGATGTCGTGCATCACATTGGGCGTGCCCAAGTTCGCATTCTCGCTCGGCGAATAGCTAACACAACCGAGTACTGCGGCATCTGTGAAAGTTAGAGAAGACGGAGGCGCGGTACGCGACGGACAAAAAGTTGAGAAGACAGCATGACTTGTCATGGCTGGAGTCAGCGTGAAAAGCGCAGAGTCGGTCAGCGCGAACTTGACTTGGAAGTGGTAGAACGTTCCTTGTGCAGAAGGTGCACGGCCAATAAGAGCGACTGCTGCTCCGTCCGCACTTTCCGCCGGGAGCTACGTCCGGTGACGCGGCCTGAACTGGAATAGTTGCCTCGGGCATACGGCGGGCATATTGTACGTCGAAGGCTCCCTAACGTCCGCGCCGGAGCTTCAAGTAAGCATTCCACCACATGCTTCGGAAGAGAAATGGCTCGTGTGACGCTGGACACGCCGTTGCGGATTCGTAGAACAAGTCCACCGACAGCTGGAGTTCCACGTCTGCGCTGACCCGACTCGTAGCCATCCTTGTGACGGTTCCGTCAAGTAAAGAACCAGATTGACAAACCAGGAGTATCTCACGCTATATTTCCAACATATATTGTCCACTTTTTTTTTCTTGAGTCTCGCTGTGTGGGCAGCCGAAAGCCAGCTTCGACCATGCTCGGAACGGCGCTCGGCAAGGGCTCATGTCAAACTAATGTAATAGGTCAAGGCTCATGCCTATCCATGGTTCTCGCCGTATTTCTGAATAGTCAGCTGCCGGATCGCCAGTTCTACGCCACGATCGTTCCGAGCCCGCCGTCGAGATTCTCCACGTTGATCCCCACACGAAGGATTGAAGCGATGATCTGCGCGGGGATAGTCGTGGGGCAGATGATCAACACGTTTTCGATCACTGCTACTGATCAAAACTCGCACACGTCATTGCTGCTCGTACAATCTTCGAGCGGGTCGAGCTAAAGAATTTCAATACGGTGCGTTTCAGATTAGCAGCTATTCGAGAGCGGCCTCAGCAATATACCCTCCAACGATATCAAAATGTCCGTATCAACTCAAGTCCTTGAGCGCAAGCACTATCTTGACGGTGAATCGTCGGATGTAACTTTTGTCTTAAGAACTAGATCTTGGACTCTTCGAGTTCTTTCTCCGAAACACTAGCCAAGGATAAGCATCATCTGATGTAGGGTATCTGGGCAGACGTCCGAATACCCATTCACGAGCCTGTGGACTACGTCGACCAAGGAGCATCTCATGTGTATATATACACTAATGTATGTACATACAAATACATACCTATGGTCTCCACTTGCTCAGGAATGAAATAACGCTCCTGGAGAGCCTCTCTCAACCCTTGCGGCCGCTCTTAGTACGCTCTGTCTCCACGCTAGTGCCAAAAATGATTATGAACATCAGCTCTCTCTTAGCTTTTCTTTCATTTTCATGTCTCCTTGTCTTGGCGCCTGCTCTACCGACCAGAAAACCCTCATCTCGTGCCTTGGTTGCTCAAGAGCCAAGTACAGACCCCTTTTACCAGCCTCCCGCGGGCTTTGAATCCACTGAGCCAGGAACAATTCTTAAGAACCGCAGCATTAACGCAGCCTTCTTTGGCGTCATTCCAGATCCAATTGAAGCGTATCAGCTTCTTTATCGCACGACAGCTGTTAACGGGAGCGCAATCGCGACGGTGACAACGATATTCAAGCCTTGGGGCTGGTCAAAAAAGGATCGCTACATTTCTTACCACACAGCTTACGACAGCTCGGCCACAATTTGCGATCCAAGCTATGTTTTTCAATATGGCTCCCAGCAGTGGGGCTTGATAGCTTCGCTTGAGCGTATCCTGATGGAGATATATCTTTTCCTTGGCTATTTGGTTGTCTCACCCGACTACGAAGGGCCGGATGCTGCATTTCCCGTAGGCAGGCTCGAGGGCAAAGCTGTGCTCGACGGAATGAGAGCTGTCAATAACTTTGCCAGCGTGCTTGGTTTCGAAACCAATGATCCCATGATTGTTGGTACGGGATACTCCGGCGGGGCAATTGCTACAGGCTGGGCGGCTGCTCTTCAGCCTACTTACGCACCAGAGCTCAACGTCAAAGGGTGGGCGCAGGGCGGCACCCCAGCAAACCTTACCGGTACTTTGGAAACAATCGACGGTACTGTGTTCGCGGGTTTTGGGCCAGCTGCAGTTGTCGGTCTTTCCCAGCCTAGCACATTTGGTGCTCAGCTCAAGCCTCTAATCAACAGCATCGTCACAGAGGCGGGAGCTGAAGCACTTGAATTCGCTAGTCAACAATGCGCCGTGTTGGATTTGCTAAATTTTGTTGGCCAAAGTGTGCAAAGCACCAAATTTCAAAGCCTAGGGACAGGGTTGTTATACAATCCGATCGTCGCAGACATTCTCGAGCAATGCATCATTGGTCTCGACCCCGCGGAAACACCCCATGTGCCGACCTTTGTGTACCATGCCATAAAGGATGAAATCATTCCATATGCAAATGCTTCGAGCATGGTCAATAGATGGTGCAGCAACGGCGCTGATTTGCAGTTTACAACTTATGATGCAGGTGGACACGCCACCACCCTGGTCATTGCGTTGCCAGCCGTTGTTTCATTCATTGAGAACGCATTTGCAGGGACGACAGGGTTGAGTGGGTGCACCATGAATACTGAGTTAACGAACTCGCTAGATCCACTCGCTTTAGGCCTCGATCTGGAGCCACTACTGGTGACTTTGGTCGATGCCTTGCTGGTTTTAGGAAATGATGATGAAAATGTAATAAATGATATTCAAATTCTTCAGCAGACTATTGGATAAAAGCGTTGAGATGACAACGCAAGGAAAATTATATGAATAATATAATAATAGTCAAGCCAAATCTATGAAATATAGCAGAGTGCAGTCGGCCGCAAATGATCCTGATTTTCTATCAACTCAGTCCAGTAGCAACTATGAATGAGGCCCATCTCTGAGGAACGAATGTAGAAGTTGCTACAAGTCTATTTCTTTCAATGATAAAGTATCTTTGCTAGGTCCATGTCATTATAAGTAGATATTGTGCCCAGATCTCCTCATCAGGAAATGGAATTTCAGAAAAGGAGTCGCGTGGCTGTCTACCCCAAATTAAATCGACTTCATTCATTCTGAACTTGCTTGTAATTGAACCTAAACTCCAAAGATGTCCAGTTAGCCGAAATATGTTCCCCAAGGTTGTTTGATGCTCCGAAGATGCTTTATTCTTCCTTAGGCTCTTAAGATTTTACTCCGGAGCCCATGGCTGCGTCTATGCAATTTTCGCTGAAACGACGGTTGGTTACCGGCAATGAACTTTGGTTCCAAAAGTAATCCAACAGTGACAAGTGAGTGTGTGGTTCGGCAAGAGCAAAATGGAGAACTGGTCTCAGGATTCGTGCTGACATAAGCCGCAGCTACACCTGCAAGTACATAAACCGTCTAATACCCACTCCACCAATATAGATAGGTACTGTGCAGCCTATTCTCATTTTCGTTCCTAATACCAGACATATTCTCTTGCGTTGTTCTATGACCAGTGCTTAGTGACGCGAAGACAGACCTCAATATAACACTAAATATATCTGATAACTGTTGAAAGTTCACAGCCTGGGGATACTACTTTCACGTTTGGGGGGTGAAAGAAGTATTATATTGACAAAGCCAGAACGTGCTTCGTCCGTTCGGCTTTGTTGGAGACAGTTATGCACTGAGATACGTTCAAAGGCGATCTCGTCACCAAAAAATGTCTAAGCGCATGACACGCGGTTCAAGAACCGCAGCAATAATGACGAATATCACAAAATGGTCTTACATGCTTAAGCTATAGATTGTAAACGTTAGTAGTTGTCGCATTTTTTTGGGATCCGGCCATGCCCTCGAGGCTCCTTCCAATACAAGAGCTTAGCAACTAAACAGCGGGCCTTGGTTTAATCGAGCACGAATTAGAAAAAGGCTTGCATGAAACAATCTGCACAACAAAAGAAAGAGTTTGCTAGAGTATCGAGTAGGAGCATGATTCTTTGCATGTCGAAGGACTGGACGTGATTTCACGCTGCATACATTTCATCTGTTCGCCTTTATTTCCCTCTCTGAACGAGTGTCAATCCCGATCTCCCCTTTGGTTCAACTCACATCCGCCTCTGAAGAAAGCCTAGTCTAGCGTCCAGACTCTCCGGCCAAAATTTGGGCCACTTCCCCCCGCTGGCTTCCGGAAAAACATGATTTGTCAATCACAATGGAGGAGGAAGAGTTGGCAGACCTGGAATGCTGCCAAGGATACCAACAACGCAGTTCTTGTAATCATATGGTTAGCATTATCACAAGATGACCTAATTCCATGCTAACTCACCAGAGCATCTGTAGCCAGTCCCGTGACGCAGCTCGTGATTGCAGTAGGATTAGTGCTGAGCTGCGGAAGAGCATTGAGAACGCAAGTAACAGCGTCGACCACAGTCGGGTTGAGAAGGCATGTCAACTGACGGCGTTCCGCGGTCTCAACAGGCTGAGCAAAGGCAGTTGCGCCGAGCACTGCGAAGCCAGAAACAATCTTGCTAATAGCAACCATGATGTTTTTCCTTATGTTATGTTTGAGAGGATGTGAGGGTTTGTTAAAGAACTGTGACTTTGGCTTTGTGATCAGCGTAATTGATGAGTTGATGAGTTGGAATGGAGAAAGGGAAGGTCGCCTTCTTATAGTCGCCAGCTTAACGATTTGAGGAGTATGGAAAGTCTCTTGCGTGGTCATGGAAGTGCCCTAGATCGTCTACTTGATGCATGCTGACCACTCTGCTGCCTTGAACATGGCCTTGGAATTGTGATAAATCGCAACAGCAACATCTATCTGACAAATGATCGTTCATATCATGTGCATTACGCTCATGAAAAATCGCGGCAATGCAGTGACAGGTAAATGAAAGTGGCTGGCTGGAGATCATCTAGTACCTAGTCACTCCTCAATTGTCCGTGTCGATCACTTACCCGACAGCTAGGGTAATACCGGTTTTTGGACTATGATTCGATTTCGTAAGATGTAAAGGAAGATATCTGCAAGAGCAGCCGTGCACGTTACCATATGATTAAGTGCGCCAGGCTGCACTTCTTCAATATTATTGGGAAATATCACCTCCGCCAGATCTCCGTCAGTCACAGTCCATAGTGCCTCGGTCTGGACCTCCTGAAGCTGGCAGAATGTGCGAGCGCCAGAAGCTACATTCGGACTCTGTGTGGCGTTAGACACATCGGCCGTTGCATCTCCCGCTAGTATCTAAGTCTTGTTTTTCGAATGGGACATGGCGGCCATCGCCGATCAACTTGAAATAAGGCAAAAGCTTTTGCTGAAATCTGGACTCGGGCAGTTGTACGGTGTTCCTCCCGCAGAAGAATTAGTATATGGCGAGAAGAAAGCGCGTTCGATGAGATACGCAACTTAGAAGCCTTCAGAGGCCAGTTGGAGCCAGTCCATCCAACACATTGTAATACACTCTTTCCCAGGTGCAAAACAGATTAGAAAAGTTCCAGTCACCTCAAAGTTCGGTTACGCGATGTGAAAAGCGCTGAGCAACCCAAAGGGCACCACTGGGATGTTTGGCGGTGTGCAGCAAGAAAGATGCGGCAAAGGGGCACAAGCGTGCGTGCATTTACTTTTGAAAAGATGTGATGTCGAGAGGAGACATTGACTTGTGTAACCAAAAATGGGGTCGTCTCAGACTCGTGCAATTGGATTGATTGGTGCTTCCGAATGCATCTTCGGTAACGAGCTTCGATTCGACCAGAATATTCTCCTCACGTGTTAGTTTCTTATTGAAGAGTGGACGTCACTGACCTGAAAAAGAGGCATTCTGACAACTTTATTCTGCTGTCTTGTGATAGCTCAACTTAACTGAACTCACGTGGGGCCAGTGACCATGCAGTTCCCGCTCTTTCGGAGCTTTTATGTCGTCGTTGCTCAAAAGCATCGCGGAGAAACTAGAACGGAGACAACTCCAGGTACCCGTTAGTCTAGCCTCGTTTGGGTCTACACTACGCTGATCAGCCAGCCCAAACGGTGTGCCGCAACGATTGAAGAATCCTCATCAATCATATGTTGACGAGATTGAAATGAGATTTCAAGCTTCATGCTCCGAAAAATGGGGATAGCTAGGCTGGTGATAATCACTCATCCTTGGAATCCAGGAAAAGGCCCGCACTCGAGAGTATAACAAAATACTTCCATCTTTAGCTCTCGTTTCTCTGGGAAAAAAAGCCCTGAAGGATTCACTTGCCGTGCGGAGCGGGCCGGCAGCTCACTGAGGCGCATTGAGGGTTAAGTTATTAGGCCTGTTTCGCTCATGCATGGCCTACGTTCCTTGCCCATTGTGTGTGATCAATTTAACGTATCGCTTGCATAAGCGAGTTGGCAAGACAAATGCTAACTTAGCAGCCGTCCACGTTCGCGCCGATGGGGTATGCTAGGTGGCGGAGTGGTTGTACAACAGCAGCATGAGAAGCTTCCGGTCAGAGCTGAGATGTCAACCTCGCACCTCAATCGATCACTCACAACCGGGTGAAACATCGGAGCTTTCCACAACATGCGCGATTCTACTGCAGTAGCAGAATCTATCTTTCAAAAGCGCTTTTTTGGCGGAAAAATGTGGAAATGAGCGCACATAAGAGATACTAATGCAGGCGAAAAGAGTGCCAGAAAGCGATGGCGGGACTTGACATGGTCACGCTAACGGTTAAAGAGACTCTGATTTGGCCAACCATACATGACGAAAGAAATGAATGCTGTTGTTGATTAGCTCATGGCTTCCTATCGCTCCAAGGTACAGCCACATCAAGTGCCGATGCAACTCGCATCGCTGAAACTACACATCCTTCCAAAAGAACCATACCATCCCAGCACCATCCACCAACCAGCCAGACATTATCATCCCCGTTTCTCCATGGAACCGGTTTCTCGTCCGGATTTTGGGGCTCACGCGGCCCATTGAATATTGTGTTAATGATGCGTCTGCTGCGGGGAGTTCGAAGAGCTCGCTGGAATTGCCCAGAGCTGAGGACGTCTCGTGTCGATAGAGTGTTGATGAACGGACAGGTCGTCACCATTGCCCCGGAAGGGTGAACGTGGGTAGACTCTGTTTCGCCCGTTTTGGTGGAAGTCCGAAAATGGATGGTTTGTACCGTCCTTGAGCCATTCGGCATATAATTCTTTTCTGGTTTCTTGATATCAGACAGAGTTATGCCATCTCCCCGTACAAGGCTCCTGACAGTCGTCGTAGGAATTTGCTTCATCCATTTTTCAAGCGGTTGGAACAGTTTTGCGACGACCTCTGGAGCTACAGCTAGGACGGCATGAGCAAAAATCTCGCTGTGAACGCCACCATCGACGTCTTTCCATGTGACTTTGACCCTCTCAGGCCCAGCAACCTCTACTTTGCTGACTGTCGCAGAGAAGCGAACACTGAACCCAATTTCTAGCTTGCTTTGAACTTCGTGTACCCCGGACACCGTGTAGTGATTGCCGCCTGCTGTTTGCCTCTTGTATTCTGTCAGATCCCTTGCTGGTGCTTGAAGAAGGGCTGCATGAGAGCATGTTGCAACACTTGACATGAGCGGAAGTAAATATGAATTCAAAAAGTAGCTCGGGAGGCAAATTCGCCGGGTATATTCCTCGAGAGATTCGCATTCGTGGCCGCGGGTAGCAGGTTGAGGGGGCACCATGTGACAACAAAACGACCACCAAAGGTAGCAGACAGCAACGTAGACAACTTCTACCAACCAAGAGAACAATGACATGCCCTCTGGTCGGATAGGAGGTAACACGTGGTTGTTCGAAGAGTGGATGAAATAGCATTTTCGAGCGCTATCCTTCTCGCTCTCCGTAGCTGCGTGATTCTCAAAAGCATAGATGAAACGCTGAGCTTTAAAGCGCACTCCAATGTACCTATACATGCGAATCAGGTTTTTATAATAGCCTTCTGCAAAAGCACGCATGGGCACGTCGATGCGATCAACCATCTCTCGCGCCTCATTTAGCACAGAGACCGACGCAGAGTCCAACGAAAAGCTTGCTCCCTACATCATTTTCGTTAGAAATGGCCGAATGACGGACGTATAGATACGCACGCTTTCAAAGACGGTTACCTCGTATCGCTCCTTCGGGTCTTGATGAAGCAAGTAAGCAGTGACCAAACCTGCCATTCCGGAGCCAACGACGGCTATCCTCTGCTTTGCCTTGCGCTCTGAAGGCATCTTTGCGTATTTGCTTCTCAAGTTCCAACGAGAAGCTCTGCTATGATGGCGAAGGGCTCTTCCAGTTTCTCAGGGCAGCTTCCGACACTTTGGCTACAAAGTGGCGTATGCAAGGACTGGCGCAGCAGAATCAACGTCGGCCGAAACCCATTACTCGGCTAGCCCGCAACACAAAACAAAATCTCAATTGTGGCTCAGCAGCAGCACGAAGGAATCAGGATCGGGAGAATAGGGGCTTCTGACAGGCGGCTGGCTATTACCGAGTCCCAACCGGATCACAACCTTTCGGCCAGTTGATCCATGTTGTTGATCTTTGGGTGACATGTAGACATCTACGTCGGCGAGTGCTGAAGCTGACGACAGCCAGCCTCGGAGCGTCAAAATTTGTAGCTCTGGTACCTCAAGCAGGCGCTGAGCAGTGGCCACTAAGCGAAGCCGTGAAAAGGGCGAATCACGGCGGACTTGTTTCTGCGCGGACATGATGCGGTGAATATTGCAAGCGGCGAAACCCGCTTTTCGCCGATCATGGCACAAACTTTGTTGTGAAGAATTGGGCTTTCCGCCAATCACGTCGATGGGTCTGACGCACCAAGCAATGATCATGAAACCTGTTGTGAAACCCACGTAGTTCTCACAAACAAGGTACAAGACTGTTTTCGATTATCATCTACCACGTATGCAGGTCGTGATGGAGTAGATGAGGCGAAGATGGAATGCGAGGCGTGGTATCTTCTAGGCGTTGCTACCGGCGTGATACTGGTTCTTGTGGGCAAGCAGGTGCTCGCAAATCAACTCGCTTCGCTCTATGGCGAAAAGTCGAAGAAGACATTGTATGCGTTGGACCATGCAAAGTTGAACGTTTGCTTGCCGCCACCATCATTGTGGATGAACATGGGATACTGGAAGGTGCGAGATGACGAGCCTATCGGTGGTGTCGCGCTGACGGTGCAAGAATACTGAGGATTTTCCTACAGCGTGCGAAGCCCTCCTGAAGGAGGTGCTGAAGGCTGCGAAGATCTTGCAAGAATTGAAGAGCAAAAAGGACGAACCCATGAACGTAACGGTTAGCATTATCGACTTGGGTTTCGGCTGCGGAGACCAATGCCTTTACTTCAAGCGTGTTCTGGAGAGTCAGACCAGAAACAGAATTTTTGGCGAATGGCGAGCACGTCTAGAAGCTTATGTAGGCATTACCTTGGAGCAAACTCAGTTTCGCGTGGCCCTGGATCGACTCGGGCACGAAACACATACACAGCTTAGGATTCATTGCGCTGATGCAGGGAGGCCTCAGTCGTGGGACACAGAGCTGCAAAATGACGTGATCAAGGCATGCCAGATGAGCACGGAAAAGGACGTTGGCATCAAACCGCTCGGAGGGACACAAAGTCACCAGAATTGGGTCCTCGGCCTTGATACGTTATACCATTTTCAGCCTTCGCGATGGGGCGTTATCGAGTATGCAAACCGGCAACTCGATGCCTCGCTCATGGCTTACGACCTCTGCATCGCCGATGATATCTCTGTGTGGATGCGTGTCCTCCTCAGGTTGATGTCTAGCTTGGGCCAAAGTCCGTTCGCAAATTGGAGCACAGTCGATGACTATCGTAAGAAGCTTGTCAGTGTTGGATATGCAGAAGACAAAATTGAAATCCACGACATCTCAGCGCATGTGTTTCGACCCCTGGCTTCGTTCTTGAAAAAAAGAGAACAACACCTGGAGGTGTACAAAGTGCCACTTGGACGATATCGATACGTGGCAAGAATGTTTGACTGGTGGGCACAAACAGGCGCCGTTCGAGGTTGTATCATTGTCGCAAGGAAATAGAGCGGATGTCGTCAGCAGGCATGATTCAATAGAATGACTGCATGATGCAGTCTGCAGAAGCTGTCCCGGCACTTTCAGAAACGTTATGCGGTCACGATGTACATCCAAAGAAACACCCAGCCGAGAGGTCTCGCCATGAACAACGCACCGGCTTCGCGGGAAGAAAATATGGCAGCCTGGGTTTGATTGGAGCCCAGTGTATATGTGAAGCGAGTGTCTCCAGGAAAATGGAGATTCCAACACAGGTAATAGAGAGACAATTGCGTTCTCTGTGTCCGCAAGACCCATAGATTCTCACTGCTGGCGTAGTATCGACACGTTGCTGAGGGTTGCAGCCATGCTTCTATCCGAACGTTGTTGAGCCGGGCTTCGTCGGATGTAACAGCGAAGTCTTGAACCTGTCTGGAATACGCTGTTGTTCACATCTGCTCAAAAAAAAAAAAAAAATGCGCCGCCACATTTCCTTATGTCCTTCGTTCCACAAACACTTCGAGCACAGACTTTTTGTAAGTCTGACAATGTCAAAAGCCGATGTCTACTTCAAGTTTGGGGCAATGCTCCGTTAAGCAGCTTCCAAGATTTGTGATCTTTGGAGGTATCAATTCCGAGCTGTCGAATTAGGGTATGCTCTTCTGAAACTTGCCTGGTATGAAATCGCACTTGATGCCCTCGGCATTGTGCCTGAATATGCAAGCGCATGTGCAAAAAATGGTTCAAAAGACGAGAGGCTGAAGTAGGTTCTCAGACCTGTGTGATTAACAGTTGGAGCGGATGGTCTTTTGCCAATTTACCTTTGATTGCTAAGATTACGGTCATGAACGCGGAACCACAGCCTACCGTTGATCAGGATTTCCCTGTCTGGACATTCATTGAGCAGTGTTCAAGGATATTTGGAAGAAAGTGTCGCTTTACAAGCAGCTTGAGTATAGGAGAACTGCGACAGTGAGTTGAATATCAATCATGGATGTGATATGAATGCTGAAGAAAAGCTTTTTGTTTATACAATGGTGATTCTGCCATGACACAAAAGCGTGGTCAGTTCCGGCAGACGCGCATTCTTTGACTTGCGCTAGTCTGCAAACTTCAACAAGGTGTATTCAGTCAACAACGTCCTCAAGCTTCACTTCTTCCCTTACTCTCTCTGGCAATTCTTCGGCCTCAATCACCTCCGGTCCAGGACCTGCGTCTGGATCAACTGGAAGCCGATGCGTCCTCTCAATTTCCTCAACCAATCTCTTTCCGTCTTCCGTTGTTGCGTCGATGACCTTTTCCTCCAAATTTAGCATGCCGCCTTCACCTAGCTTGGCGACCACCTCTTCCGCTTCGCTCACGCTCATCTTGCCAAGCACTTTATTGACCTCGTCAAGACTTCCACTTTCCAAGGCACGCCGAAGACCTGGTGGGAAGCTTTCGAAAATTCGCCGTGCCTGAACTTGCTCGGGAGTTGGTGGAGGTTGTGTACTGCTTTCACTCAGATCCGTCGGTATTGGTGGCGGGACCGTGATGGTAATCTCAGTGCTTGGATCAACAGCATGTAGTTGAATCTGTTCCTCACCACCCCTTGAATCTTCTTCCTTCCTTTCCTTGGCTATCTGAGTTGCGCGTTCCCGTATCTTTGCGTACGTCGTGTTTACATCGTCTGTGAACAGCTTGCCTGCTTGGTGGCCGGGGGTTGTGATACGCTTGAAGAACAACCCGACACCGTCCTTTCCCAATTGCCGACAGTACTGTATGAGTAATGCCTGATGCACACACTGTTTAGCATATTTGGACTTGCCTTCCATCTGTGCGTCAAAGGCCTCGATCAATAACCCATCAGATTCGCGCTCCTTGAGAATGCCTGGGTGCTTGGATATAAACTCAAGGGAAGAGCGATAGTCGCCCACTGCAATCGTTGCAAATTGCTTGGCTTCGGGGCTAGCACGGATATTATCGTCATCATCTGCTCCCGTTGCACCATCTGGGTCTGGACCGTCTTCTATGTCTGCGTCTGCACCTGCTGATTGTGCTGAGTCGAACGACTTCATCGCCGGTCGCGACGGGTTGAGGAGCTCAGGACCACCAGATGATGTAGCTTTCGAGGTCTCAGATGAAGGAGTGGTGTCTTTTCGTATCTGATCCCGACATTAGTACAGATTCGTTTAGACGTGACAATTCTGCTGGGCTGACGCACACTTGAGTAGTCGAAACCTGTGTGTATATCGTCGCTAGTAATGTATCGCTTTTCCTCAGCCTCCAACTCGGCTAGCTTGGTGTTCAAATCTCTTTGAAGTCCTTCAATTTTGGTCCTATGTTCGGTGATGCCACGAATGTACGCCTCGAAGTCGTCGCCGTCTTTGTTAGGCTCAACAACCTCTTTCTTCACTTGATCAACCAGAGTCGCCATCATTTTAGAATATACAGGCTGCTCCTTGACATTCTGGTGCACACCTTGGGGTGGGGGTGGCGGCTGGTCTTCCTTTGGATCGCCCGCACTCTCGATCAGCGACTGAAAAACCAACTCGTCGGCAGACTGTGATGACGCAGCTCTATGTGACTTCAGAACGGTGAGCAGACGGTCTATGCGGTCGATCATGCCATCGTTGACGATACGCTCGTACTTGAGCGTAGCGATGTTGTGCTTTCTCTGGGCTCGTTGCTGGTGAATCTGCGCCTGTTTCGCGCGAATGAAGGATTTCTTGTCGACATTGGGATGCACTTCAATGTCCGAGTCGTCAGAGAGCTCTAATGCGTCCTAAAAGACAAGCACAGACGTGCTCGATCAGTCTATATTCGCGTATGTAGTAGTGTGCTGGAGATCGTACATACCCACTTGCTGTAGTCAACGGGCATTGTGGCGGCGGAGGAGGGGTAGGATTTATGCGGCGACGACTGCTGGAACTGTGTCACGACTACAGATTTTGTATGGACTTTGTGTACACTTGGATCAGTGGGAAGAGAAAAGACTTCTTGTGTTGGTATCTTGTAGAAGGACACAGAAGAAAGCCCCAGCACGCCGCCGCCGTCTCTCGTTTCTCACGTGTCAAGCCTGCGAGCTCGAATTTGACCATTCCGAAAATGGAATTGCGTCATCACGCCGGGACAGCTCCACCACGCAAAGGGCAAAGAGCCCGTCGACGACGATGACTTGTGCTTGTACGAGCCACCGCAATTGTTGAAACGCCTGCCATCATGATCTTACGGATACACGCATTCCCATCCGTCCTCGAATTGCGCCCATTCTGAAGACGGACAGTACACGATTGCGCCTCCTGGCCGGGCCGGCTTGCGTCAACATCGTGCTGAGCCATGCGCTCGCAAATTTTGCTACAAAGAGCCTGTCATAGCTCGAGTCGGCCGAGCATCACCGCTGGCACGAGCATGTTCTTTGCTTCCGCTTCGCGACGAATCAGTGTGGCCAGCAATGCACACATTGCGCTCTTGCCGCGACCGCTATCGGTATCTCCGCCTTCCTCGGCTACCTCATGGGCGGTAAAGCTTGTGCCAATCCCAGCACATAACACCGTCACTCCTCTCTCTTCTGCTTCTAATACAACCATCACTCCAATAATACGTCAGATCCGCGCCTTCTCGCTATGCCACATCCACCGAGAGGCGCAATCTCCCACTGCGGCCAAGCCAAAGAGGAGCTATCTGCAAGAAGTGAAGGAGAGACGGCCGGAGCCGGACGAGCACGATGAAGATGATCACACAAACAACCAGAAGTCAGACAAAGAGCTTCTCGCAGAAGCTGAAGAAATACATGAGTTCGGCCGATCCGAGAAAGCCTCACAGGCTGCTCAGTTGAACTTGAGCGCCAAACTCAGCAAGGACGGCACCAGGGGAGGCTCTGCGGGAGGATGGTCCGAGATATGGCGTCTGCTCAAAATCGCCATGCCAGAGAAAAAGAGCCTCGCTCTCGCCTTCGTCTTCCTTCTTATCAGCTCCAGCATTACAATGAGCATTCCCTTTTCCATCGGCAAAATCATGGACGCAAGTACTCAGTCATCAGATGGCAAAGAGCTCCTGTTTGGACTCAGTCCCGGCACCTTCTACCTCGCTCTTGGCGGTATCTTGACAGTGGGCGCAGCGGCAAATTACGGCCGAATTATTCTTCTCCGGATTGTCGGCGAGAGGATCGTCGCCCGCCTGCGATCTCGCCTTTACAAGCGAACCTTCATTCAGAATGCCGAATTCTTCGACGCCAATCGTGTTGGCGATTTGATCTCCCGCCTGGGATCAGACACCATCATTGTCGGCAAATCCATAACTCAAAATTTGTCCGACGGTCTAAGAGCAGCCGTCAGTGGGGGTGCAGGTCTAGCCATGATGGGCTATGTCAGTTGGAAGTTAACGTCGATTCTTGCCCTGATGTTCCCTCCAGTTGCTATCGGTGCCTTCTTCTATGGCCGGGCCATCCGCAATCTCTCGCGCAAGATCCAGAAGAACCTGGGCACACTTACCAAGATTGCTGAAGAGCGGCTGGGCAATGTGCGAACGAGTCAAGCATTCGCAGGAGAAGTTCAAGAGGTTTCGCGCTACAACAATCAGGTCCGCAAGATCTTTGCGCTCGGAAAGAGAGAAGCCATCATCTCGGCGACTTTCTTTTCGTCTTCAGGCTTCATGGGCAACATGACTGTCTTGGCTCTTCTTTACGTTGGGGGTGGCATGGTCAAAAGTGGTGCGATAAGCATTGGCGAGCTATCGAGCTTTTTGATGTACACGGCGTACGCCGGTTCGTCCCTTTTCGGTCTGTCCGGTTTCTATTCCGAGCTCATGAAAGGCGTCGGAGCTGCCAGCAGACTTTTTGAATTGCAAGACAGAGCCCCTTCCATGTATCCTACCAAGGGGCAACCAGTCCATTCGGCTCGTGGTCCCATCGAGTTCCGTCACGTATCCTTCAGCTACCCCACACGACCAGCCGTACCCATTTTTCAGGACTTGAACTTCCGTATCGAAGAGGGCTCTAACATAGCCATTGTGGCTCCTAGTGGGGCAGGAAAGTCCACAGTTGCTCAACTGCTTTTGCGATTTTATCAGCCTACTTCAGGAACCATTACGATAGATGGTAAAGACATTTCGACAATGAACGCGAAGCAGCTTCGAAGACGGATTGGCTATGTTGGCCAGGAGCCTGTGCTGTTCTCCGGCACTGTTGCTGAAAACATTGCATACGGGAAGCCGGAGGCCACGAGAAGTGAGATTGTACTGGCTGCACGAAAGGCAAACTGTCAATTCATCTCAGACTTCGTAAGCTTGATCATGCCTAATTTATATGCACGTTCAAGAAAAGCTAACCTCTCATGCAGCCGGATGGTCTGGAAACGTTCGTCGGCGCTCGTGGCACCCAGCTTTCTGGCGGCCAGAAACAGCGCATAGCTATTGCCCGCGCGCTTCTCAAGCAACCGGATATTCTCATCCTCGATGAGGCCACATCTGCGCTAGATGCCGAATCCGAGACTCTCGTCAATCAAGCTCTTGGCAAATTACTTGAAGGCCACAACACTACAATCAGCATTGCACACAGGCTGAGTACCATCAAGAGAAGCGACCGCATTATAGTTATTGGAAGCGATGGAAAGGTGGCTGAAGAGGGTACCTACCAAGAGCTGAGTGCCAAAAAGGACGGTGCCTTCTCGAAGCTGATGGAGTGGCAAATGACTGGAGATGCAGGAGCAGGCGTATTACCGACCTCTAGAGAAAGAGCTGATCCACGGCCGAGCGAGATGGAAGAGCTTGAGCTAGACTTAGAGAAGGAGGATGAGGGCGAAGCGACGGATGCAGAGGCGGAAAAGGCGCAGAGGGCTGTTCCTAAGACAACGGATGCTAAAGATTAGGTGAGTACATTATGGATATGACGTGGAGGAAAGCGCATACTTTGTACATATCAAAGATATACATTCAATGACATTCAGAACCGAAAGGAAATCGTAGACTGTGTACTATAGCATATCTGGCTGGGCTCGAGATGCACTACGAGCATCGATAGACGAAACAAGATTCTTCGCTCATCCAACTACAGCCTTCATACGTCCATTTCTAATCATCCCCAACTTGAACCTGTTCTACGAGAGGGTATGTTTCTGCCGCATCAATGGAGAACGCACGATGGGCATGTCGCTCCATTTTGGGTGCGGTTACCCGCCCTGAAACGTCAAGTCATGATTTCGCGGCGAACCATCCTTCAAAATCCGATGCACTCCATCCTTCCGATTCTGCAGCGTAGACCAAGGCGAGGATTCATTCAGACGTTCTCATCATTGGACAAACAAGACCCACTCGTGTTATTGCTCCGGCTGACTGTGTTCGATGATTGAGGAAGTTCTTAGTCTGGGCGCCGCGAGTTCCGCTTTCGCGCCCTTGACTCGGAAAACATCAAGCGTATTTCCACCCCACCTTGAACCAAGAGGCCGCTCTATCCATCGACACACCGGGGATGGTCACCCAGGAAAAAATGACTCGTGAACGCAGTAGCAAAAGCTATAATGCCTCCTCAGGTCCCCTTTGAAATTTTTTTTTCCCCCTGGTGTGTGATTCCAAGTCGTCTGACTTCGCCTGGACCAACCCACAAGGCAATTGTCAAACAGCAACGAAAGTCCATATATGCCAAGTCCGCGAAAACGTCAAAAGATGGCTCCAGCATCCTCCCGCAAACGAGCGGTCCGTATCGCCGGTTGTTCCGGCGGTTTTACCGACAGACACCTGGCTTTGACTCGCATGGCGAGTGATCCTGATGTCGACGCTGTGTGCGGAGATTGGCTGGCCGAGATGACCATGGTCATGCACGGCTCGGGCAAGCAGAGAAATCTTGCCAATGGTTCCAAGGTGCAACTGAGCCTGGAAGAGCGCATGAAGACGGCCATGTACGCCGAGACGTTTTTGCAGTGTTTCGAACCGTGCATTGAGCAGCTTGTCAAGAACGGTACCAAGATGGCCGTGAACGCCGGAGCGAGCGATACGGAGCTGCTCGCTGAGGTCGTGGTGGACCTCTTGAAGAAGAAGGGTGCAGGTCACCTAAAAGTGTCGTGGATTTCGGGTGACGAAGTGACACCCCAGGTGCGAAATCTGATCAAGCAAGGAGAGAAGTTCGAGAGCCTGCAGAAGAACATGAAACTGGAAGAGCTTGGCCTTGAGCCCATCTGTGGTCAGGCATATTTAGGAGGGCTCTGCATTGCGGAAGCGTTGAGGGATGGCGCAGATATCGTGCTTTGTGGAAGAGTCGCCGATGCGGCCCCCATCATTGGTGTAGCCGCGTACGTCCGCTGCTGAAATTTGTATTTGTGCGAGATACACCTATTAACAGGTGGAACAGTTGGTGGCATGAGTGGCGGAACGACCAGTTCGACGAGCTTGCTGCCGCTCTGGTCGCAGGACATCTCATCGAGTGCGGATCCTACGTCACAGGCGGTTTCTACTCAGAGTTCAAGAAGCTGATCAAGACCGGCAAGCACGTGAACATGGGATTCCCCATCGCAGAAATCGAGGCGGACGGTGTCTTCAACATCGTGAAGGAAAAGAACACGGGTGGTTGTGTAACCGTGGGATCATGCGCGTCGCAGCTGCTATACGAGATTCAAGGCCCGTAAGTTCAGTCCCAGCAGGCAAAGACTCTCGGGTTGAATGTCTAATGATGAACAGACTGTACTACAATTGTGACGTAGTTGCTGACCTCTCGGGCATCAAGATGGAGCAGGTCGGTGAAGAATGCGTTCGCGTGACGGGGGTCAAGGGCCTACCGCCTCCACCGACGACGAAAGTAGGTATCACGCTCCCGGGCGGGTTCCAAGCGGAATGGCACATATGGCTGTGCGGGCTTGACATTGAGGAGAAGTGCAAAATTACGGAAGATCAGATTCGGTACGCGATGGGTGATGAGATCTCCAAGTTTACAAAGCTTAGATTCCACCGGATGGGCGCGTCCATGATCGACGCTCCCAACCAAGACGAGGCCACAGTGGACTTCCGCATATTCGCTCAGTCTCGGGACCCCGAAGTCCTGAGACCCGACGTACCTAATGGCTTTAACAGATGGGTGCTGGAGACGTTCTTGCAAAGTGCGCCTGTACGTGACATACTCATTCTGTCTAAACCGGACCTGTACTAATTGCTGCTACAGGGTGCTTCTCTGAGCAACGATCTTCGACAGATCGCACCCAAGCCCTTCTATGAATACTGGGTGTCTCTTCTGCCGCAGAGCGAGCTTCATGTTACCGTGCACAACCTGTTTGGTGACCATACCGTTCGAGAACTGCCTCCTCCCGCCATCACCAGGGAGTACCCCAAGCAACAGCAGTCGTACGAGACGGCAAATCCCGTTCCTCTGGAGACTTTTGGCGAGACTGTCAGAGCACCTTTGGGTTACATTGTTGCTGGCCGGGTGAGTTGAGACTTGAGGAATGAAAATGACATGGCTAATATCAGAGAAAAAAAAAGAGCGGAGATAAGGCGAGTGACTGCAACGTTGGCTTCTTCGTCCGTCATGCCGACGAATGGGACTGGCTGCGAAGCTTTATGACCATCGACCGCATCAAGCAACTTCTGGGTCCGCAAGAATATCTTGGCAACCCCATCGACAGATTTGAAATGCCCGGGATTCTCTCGGTGCATTTCCTGCTACACGATCACCTTGAGGGCGGCTACAGCACCATTTCCAAGTTTGACACGCTCGGAAAGAACGCTGTGGAATATTTGAGAGCGAAGACTGTCGATCTGCCCAAGAAGTTTCTGGACAGGGGGAGAATATGATAGGCTCAAGAGACAAATTCACCCTTCCGAGGTCAGTCGCACATGTACCTATTAAAATTAAAAAAAAAAAAAAAAAAAAAAAAAAAAAAAAAAGAGCGAAAAAATTCGGGCCATGTGTGGGGCTGATGGCAGGCATAAAGTGCCGTCACTTCTCTGAAGGCTCTAGCTGAGCTTGACGGGTCTTAGCAAAAGGCAGGTTCACAATGAAGTCTTGAGATATAGGCGAGAGACGGGTCCGAGAAAGTTTGTAACACGTACGGCGCTGTCGTACGAATAGTCCAGCAGGAGGTCGGAATCGAATCACTAGCTTTTTATCTTTCAGCGACACTGCTTTGGAGTGTGCATATAGAGTATGCGACAACGGTGAATCCGAGCTCATGAGGATATACGGGTGTTTTGCCTTGAGAATAAGCCATGTGCTTTATTATGATGCTACATGCGGAGAGAAACGACTCTTCCGGGAACATGCCCTTGCACACAATCTCAGCACGATCGCTTCGATCAAACCACGCGCTGGCGTCTGCGGACGTTCATGAGTCACGCATTCTCCTTCTCGCGGGTAGCCAAGCGGAAAACAAGACTGCCAATCCAGACAGCTTCCGAGCAAAAACTATTGTGTGCATAAATCGTGTCCTGTGGTTTCGACAGCATTACACCCTCGAGCTGTGGTATCGACTTGACCGAACACGCTGATGAAGAAGGGTTTTGTTGCTGCGGTCCAGTCAAGCAAGGAACACACGACCGTTGTAGACAGAAGGTATTTTCGTCGTCGTTGTGCTTGTCGTCGTTATGCTTGCCGTCATTGTGCTTGTCGTCATTGTGCTTGTCGCCACTATCCTGCTCGACGTCGACACTCCTTCCTTACTCATTTGGGCGAGCAGTTGGAAAGAGCGATGAACACTTGTCGTGGTGGGCTAGCTTTCAGATTGGAAGGTGCCCTTCACTTGATCCACGGCCCTTCGCTCTTGCCGCTGAGGAATGATCCGTGAAGAAGGTGGCGAGTGCTGCAAGACCACTCGACAGTCGAGAGTCCTTTGTCGATGCTTCAAGTGCATGCGGACACACGTCGTGCCTCATCGGGTGCGAAGATAAGAAATCGCGCTTGGGAGCAGTCGGCGTGTTTGTCAATCCAGCCCATGGCCGAGTCTTGGGTTCAACAAAAATCAACGAGGATCCTCCCAAGTCCTTCGGCCTTCCACATGAGGCACGGCGCCTGGTCCACGACCTGGCTTGAGTATCTAGGGTGGAGTGGTGTCACGACTAGCACACGAGGAAAACAATGCCGAGAACACCCCAAGGTCAAGAAGGCAGGGTGTTGTGGATAGAGAGTATGAAGAGCTGAAGGGCCTGCAGAAATTCACCAAACATCGGCGAGTAACAACGTTTTCAAGGTCTCAAGGCTCTTGTAGACACGCGAGCAAGAGCGTTGTGATCTACCATGAACCTTTCGTTTGTCCGGGCCAGGAACCCTTCAGTTCCAACTGGCAGCAGCGCACATCTTTTTTGTAATTCCACACAATGAACTGGAGGTACGTTACGGTCACAATGCACAATTGCGCACGTGAGCTGGCGCATTGCCTGCATTTGCAAAGCTTGCGACGTCGACCTTCTCGTATTCATCTCCATTATCTGTTCTTCTGTCACGCTTATGGAGGCGAGGATTGACATGCAAAGCCTTGCATGGGCAGAATTGGATTTACATCTTCCGCCAGCTTTTCCACCAAAAGACAAAGGAGGTATCGTCAATTAGGTCGAAAGCAAAGGCATTGCCGTTCAAGGGATACGCTGCGAGACAAACTCACGTGCATAAGTCTGTAGGAAGCTACGAGCAGCAGGTGTCGAGAGTCAACGTCCAGGCACGAGCGAGGCACGAAATGCTCTCAGACTTGTGACAGAAAATAAGCGTTCATCGAGAACGCATAAGCAATGCCAGCCATGTGGAAAATTCAACACGTTTCCGATGGGGCTGATGGGTCGAGAAGAAGGGACTGTGCGTTTTTGCAGCACAGCGAAGCTGGAGAGAAGCTGAGAAGATCGACGGATGCAGTAGTCGTCAGTAAAAATTATGCAGGGCTGGGGAGAAGGAGGGACAATTCAGCTGAGGTTGGGCGACAAGACAGTGCAGACAACGTCAATACGCTGAACGGCCAATTGGCTTGCTCCACGATGCGGGCGCGACATCGTTGATGCTGGACGCACGACGGACGGGAGGCTGGTGGGTCGTACGGTATGGGCTGGTACGCAGACAGTCATCCAACCTGTAAGTTATTCGGTGATGCAGCATTGTATTTTGGTAGCCGTTTGTAAGGTAACCCTGAGCAGATGCACATGCTCGAAAACGGGCGTCCCACAATAATCAACAAATGGAAATGAAATGACAGGAACGATTCGTGACGGACTTTGTCGGTGCTGAGACGAAGACACGGCCCCAGAGAAACGAGAGCCGAGGAAGAAATGCCACGGGAGAATGTGATGATGGGGGATATTGATTGGAGGCGCAGGGCCAGGCAAAAGCAATGGTTGCCCAGCAACGCAGAGCAGAAGAGGAGGAAGGGATCGGAGCACAGTCAAGGCTGGAGCCAGAAAGACGGACGGTTGGGCGGTGGGGGGTGAGGCAGGACGACGCAGGCGTCAGCGCGGATCCTTCTGGTCAGCACAGCGCTGGTTGGAGGCCACGAAGCGTGCTGTGGTCGCGGTGACTTCAGTGGTGACGATGAAGTCCAGACGACAGGGCAGCTCGTCCTGCTGCCGTGACTCTGCACGTGTGTCGACTGCTGCTGAGGTACCAGCGCGCAGGCGAGAGTCTTTTTGGCACGGGCGGTTGCGAAACAAACGGACGGGCGAGACGAGAGACGAGAGCAAGAGAGAGATGAGCGAGCAGCGACGAGTGGGTCCGTCACGGGCGTTGGCTGGATTGTTTACGCGCTAGTGCCCACTTACGCGAACCAAAACAAACCTCCTTATTTATCGGTTGCCAGCCTCTCTCGACCACACGTACGTACCCATCATTCTCCTCCCTTCCTCCTCTTCTTCACTCGGCCTTTTTCTACCCAACCCGCCTGCTGACCGCATTCTTGCAACTCCAATTGCAACTTTGCACGTCGTGTGCCGGCCGTCTTCATCACTCGTGCACAGCGCACATCTTGCTTGCTCACGCAGCCCTCACGCTTCTGCACCCTCTGCTCCCCAAGCTGGCGAGTTGAAAGCTCACGGCTTCGCCCACCAGCTCCTCTGAATCTTCTTTGCACCTCGCTTCAGGAGCCAAGAAGTTCTTTCTTGTCTTCCTCTTGAACAGTTCTCGAACAGTTCGAGGGGTTTGCAAGAAGGAACGCCGCGACTCCAGGCAACCTGGACTTTGACGCCCGCGTCCCCATCCCCTTCAGTGTCTTCCCGTCCTCGTATCGGAGTGACGCTGTCACAGAAACTTCCAAAGTCAAGGTAGAGGGTGAAGTCGACCTACCTGAGAAGACTTCGCGCGTCGGACGGGAAGGTCACGAAACCCGCATCACATCCACCCGCATCACCACCTCAGAGCGCGACGACTTCGCTCCCGCGGACCAGCAGCAGCCGCCACGCGTCAGAGAGCCGTTCCAGCCGCACGAAGAGCGACCCCAGGGCTCGTTCAGACGCGAGGAAGAAGTCCGCATCTACGACCGCGAACGAGAGCCCGCAGACACTCGTGAACGAGTTTCTCGCCGCGTCGAGGTCACCCGCGAACGCGACAGGTACGTCCACACTCACCTCCTCGTTTTCCCCTCTGCCGTTGAGCCCGCCTTGGGCCCCTTGGGCGTCCACCGTCTGGCGTCTTCGCGTCCATCCGCAACTTCCGCCCTCTGCCGCCGCCGTCACAAGCGTAGCGTGCGTGCAGAGGGTGGGCGCTGTGCAGAGACGCAAGCGGGTGCAGCGGCCAGCTCATCACAGCCCCCCGCCCGACACACAGCGCCAAGGGTGGGCCGATTGGGGCGTTGGCCCCCTTTCCCGCATGGACGCGACGCCTCGCTCCCGCATGTGGCCATGGCGTTTGTTGACCAAGCAACACGAAAAAACAATCCTTGGTCGTCCATTCATCTTTTCCCCTTCCATTCACCCTCCCCGTTCTTCATCACATCCTCCCTCTGCATCCCTTCGATCCCACACCATCAACAGCGGCTGATCGTTGCCATCACAGCTACTCTGAGCCCTACACCCGCTACGCCGAAGCTCAGCTCGACGTAAAGGACAGATCCTACACACAGGAACGCGTCTACGATCGTGAAGGTCGTGTCGTCGGTGGTCGAGCCCCAGCTTTCGAGCAGACCCTCGACAGGACCGAACGCCAGTTCCGTGAACACACCGTTCCCATCGCCGGTGCCACCGCCCGTGACTTCTACGAAGACACAGGCTCCCGCTTCGGAGGTTCCACTGCCGAGTTCCCACGAGCTCAGGCAGCCGAAGAGGTTCGAGTAGAGCGCACTACTCGAACAACCGTCGACGCTCCAAAGTACAAGCGTGACATGGGATATTACGACGACGAAGGCCAGTATCACTCCTTCCGCCGTGGTGTTCAACGCGTAGCCGAACGCATCGCCCACCCGATCCACGGCCCGTCCCTCCGACACCACCACCACCACCAGGACCACCACGACAAGCACGACTCATCCGTTCGTGAGGAAGTAGTCGTCAAGGACGAACAAGTCACCGTCTCTGCTCCCCGCGAAGAACGCATCACCATCACTCGCAGCCGTCCAGCCCCATCCCGCGACATGGCTACCCTCAACACCGTCACCATCCCATGCCACCACATCCGCATCGGCGATCTCCTGATCCTTCAGGGCCGCCCTTGCCAGGTCATCCGCATCACCACTTCTGCCCAGACTGGCCAGCACCGTTACCTCGGTGTCGACCTGTTCACCAAGCAGCTCCATGAGGAGAGCAGCTTCATCTCCAACCCTGCTCCATCCGTCATCGTCCAGAACATGCTCGGTCCTGTGTTCAAGCAGTACCGTGTCCTCGACATCCGTGACGACGGCCGCGTCGTCGCCATGACTGAGGGTGGTGACGTCAAGCAGGGCATCCCTGTCCTCGACCAGAGCAACTTGCTGGAGCGCATCACCGAAAGCTTCGACTCTGGCCGTGGCGCGATTCGCGTCCTCGTCATCAACGACGCCGGTCGCGAGCTCGTCGTCGACTACAAGGTCGTCCACGGCTCAAGACTGTAGATACATTCATGTGCGTTGGTTTGTCTGACAGTGTCGTCGGTCAGTCGATCATCCCGCTAACGAGAGGTGATTGCCAGATCGAAGAGTTTGATGTCCGGCGCTTGGTGCGAAGGTCCTAAGCCTTAGAAGCTTCCTTGGCACCGGGCTTGAAGTCTTTTTCCGTTATGGAAAAACGCACTCGGGCTGTTCTTACCTGTTGTTGACATCGGACTAAAGAGACGTCAAAAAAATTTTGTAGACACCCTGGGATCATAATGGGCGTTTTTCACAATATTGGGACAATTTGTTTCTGGCGTGTTTGGACATCTCTACCAATGAACGACACCGCTTGACAAAGATGTCGCCATCCTCTTTAGGTTTGGCAGCGCTTCGTCATGGGTCTTTGTTGGGGAGAGGGAGTGTGTGTGCGTGGGTGTGTGTGTGTGCATAGTTAATGATAGCGAATTGCATCTCCCGTCTTCGATAAACCCGTGTCAACGTGTCGTTTCGCACTTGTTCATGTGAAGGGCTTACAGCTGTCGTACGCTGCGGCTGGTCCACCTGGCCGTGTTTACAGATGGTCCGGGCTTCAAGCCGGGCGCGAAGCTATGGCCACTTCACGTGCGTCCTTCACGCCAAGCGGACGAGTCCGCCGTCCCGCCGTCTGTTCGTATTGCGGGGTTCACATTTCTAGCGTCAAAGAGACACAGTTCCCGTTCCCCTGCACTTACCTCTCCGCGTCTTGGAGGCCCCTCGCTGCGGCATAGGACGTGTCGATTCTCGGCCGCTGTTGATGCGCCCGTACGTGCTTTGTTAGAGATGGGCCTCGGCTGCATCATCTTGATCGTGGAGACGTGGGCCAAGGGAAACCATACATACATGTTGAACTAATCCACCAAGAGTTGGGCAGTACACGCCCTCTTTTCTTTGCCTCGCTTCGCCTGCGTTTCCAGCTCCTTTGTCGTCGCGGCTCCTCTGCATTGTGCACTCGAAAGCATTGTTTGTAGCACGGCATGGACGGCGGCGACGAGGCCCAGTTCCCGGGCATCCCCCCCTTTCCCAACACTGTGCCCACCGCTCCACTCGTTCGCATCTCGCTCGCCAACCTTCTCGCTCGCGACGCCGAAGAAGAGGACAAGCTGTGGAACGCGTGCTGCGATCTCGGCTTCTTTTACCTGGACCTGCGCCGCTCCAGAGGCGTCGGGACCGGCGGTGCAGCGAGCGGAGCTACGAACGGCGCTTGTAAAGTAGGCTCAAACGGAGCTGCCGCCGAGGGCGCGATCATCGACGGCGAGAGGTTGCTGGCCGATGCCGATGCCCTCTTTGACGTTGCCGAGGAGTTCTTCGCCCTGCCGGTCGAGGAGAAGGCGAAGTATGACTTTTCAGACCAGAGAAGCTACTTCGGGTAAGTACAGCGGTTTTGTCAGGCAACATGCCTCCTTTGACATTTTTTGGGGAGGGGGGGGGGCCACAAGAGTATAAACTTGTCTTCATCTTCATGCCTTCGTCCAGTGGTTGATGCGTTGTTGCATTCGCCTGAGTGGGTTTGCGTTTGAATAAATTGCCCCAATACTTAAAATATATATATATATATATATACGGGGGTGTGGGGGTTAAACATTACATATTACATGCATACATATTCAGCCAGTGTATACTTGCTCACAACATCACCACCAGGTACAAAGGCTTCGGAGTGGGCATCCTTGACGACAAGGGATCGAGGGATAGAAACGAATTCTACAATGTTCGAGACCTCACAGGCTTTTTCCCTTCCCCTTCTCATGTAGAGAAGACTGACGACAACAGGTCTCCAAGGACGACATCTTGGGCATCTCGTCACCGCTTCCGGCACCGCACCTCTTCAACAAACACCGCGCACTGCTTCGTTCCTACATTGAGCAGTCACACGGGCTGATAGAGCTCATCTTGCGTTTCTTGGAGCCCAGACTGCAGCTCCCGGCGCAGTCGCTGGAGAGCTTGCATCGCGTCGACGCCGTGTCCGGAGACCAGGTTCGGTTCATCAAAGCGCCGCCACAGCCGCCAGACGACAGAAGAACGGCGTTGGGCGCGCACACCGATTTCGGATCCGTCACCGTCTTGTTCAATCGGGTGGGAGGTCTGCAGGTCCGCCTGCCGGCCAGCATCGCGGCCGTCGAGCCAGCCGTTCCGGGCCGGATGAGCGAGGCGGAACGGTCGCTGTGCACAGAGGGCTGGGCGTACGTTCATCCGTTGCCGGGACACGCCATCATCAATCTCGGCGATGCGCTGGTCAAGTTCTCGGCTGGGATTCTGCGGAGCAACATCCACCGTGTGGTGGCGCCGCCGGGAGCGCAGGGCGACGTTACGAGGTACAGCCTTGTGTACTTCTCGCGGCCGGAGGACGAGGTGGTGCTCAAGGCCCTGAAGGACAGCCCGCTGATCGCTGAAAGAGTGGGGAGGGGATGGGAGGAGCAAGAGGAAGCGGTTACGAGCAAGGAATGGATCTTGAGGCGCGCCTTGGGTCGGAGGGAAGGCAAGTATTACGATCCGAGCAAGGCAAAGGGCACTGAGGAGGCGAGAGGTGCGCGAGGGTGACCAAGCAATGAATGCATCTAGATCTTTTCGACGTAGCACTTTTATTTTTTTTATTTTTATTTTTATTTTTATTTTTATTTTTATTTTTATTTTTATTTTTATTTTTATTTTTATTTTTATTTTTATTTTTATTTTTATTT